TGTGGTATTTGTTTCAATTCGGTTAACATATTGTAATTTCAGATTTTCTGTTTCTTCAAGTTTCATTGTGATTTCCGCTTGCTCTAGTTTGTCTACTAGTTTTCGAAAATCTAAATCGGGCTCTCGAATTGAGGAGGGATGGGATGCTCTCTTTTTTATTGCTATTTTCCTTAATTGAGGTGTTAAGGTCATCATTAAGATTTCTGTCATTTTTGTGTTTTTGTAGTCGTGTGTATTTAGTGAGTATGCTTTTCGAACTAGTGTTTCGATACGTACTGCTAATTGTTTGATGGTTTCATTTGGTAATCTGCGAAATTCATTACATAAAACTCTTTGTTGTTGTTTGTTTCTTTCGGAGTCAAACATTTTTGAAAATTCTTGTGTAAATCTTTTCCAATTTGATTTTATTTCTATAGGCAATACTGAAAACCATTTTTGGGCTGCGCCGTCTAAGGTTGTCTGTATCAACGCTGTGCGTCGATGTATCCAATTTTGATGTAGTGGCGTATTAATTGGTTCAGGTCCTATATTTAAAATTAAATTTGCTGTTACTGCATTTAAATAATCTTCTACAGAATATTCAGGGTCTGTTCCTGTGAATACCATTAATGGTTTGTTTGATGTTATTGATGATCCACCCATAAGGTATGGATTCATTGTCATTTGTAATGATTCTGCTGCATTTGGCATTTGTGAAAAATTCGAAAGTTGATGTTTTGTTATTTCGTGTTGTTGAAGGTAATATGGAAGTGGTATTTCATTTTGCATTTGTGTTGGTTGATACGAGTGTGTAATCATTTGGTTTTGTGGCTGATTTGGTTGAAAAGATTGTGTATTTATTGGGTTTTGCATTTGCATTGGTTGTTGATTTTGTGTATCTGTTGGGTGTGGAGAAAAAATTCTATGATATGTATACGGTTTTTGTACTCCTTGTCCACGATATTCTTGAGTGTATGGTGCAAATATATCTGGTTGTAAATAATCATTATCAGAGGATAAATAATCCGTTTGATGAGATGCTTGCTTTTTATTTTTATTCTGTTGAAAGAATGGGTAATTTTCACTACGATCCTGTGGAGGATGTGAATAAGTTTGAAAATTTACTGAGTTGGTTGTTGCCATTGGGTTATCCCAATATCGAGATCTTATCTGATTATTATTATGATTTCGTGGGGGATAGTTTGTTTTTGATGAATGTGCGTAATTATAATTGTGTTCCGCAAAAGTGTTTCTTGTGAACGTTCTGCGTGTTTTTGACGGTATTGTCATGGGTCTATATGTTTGATAATCCATTTGTGAGTATTTTGGAGCAACCGAAGGTTTAACGGTTGATTGTAAGGTTACCTGTGCTTGTGAAGTGTTTGTATTTCTTGGTGTTGTTAAATTTGGACGTATTGGTGAAATACTTTGTTGTGTAGTTGTTGTTGTTTGTACAATTTCTTCATTTATGAAGTGTGATGGTGTTTGAATATCTTGTTGAGTGAGGTTCCTAGTTCCATTAAGGTTTTCATTGTGTATGACGGTCGAGTTTAAGCTATTATTTCGCGTATCGGGTAAAAATGTATTGTAGTTTAATGGTGTTGCATCAATTGTTAATGGTACTACTCTTACATAATCTCTGGTATAAGATATTGTACTTATTGCTTGACTTGCAATTGATTGTGGGATATTTATAAATGCATAATGAGACCATTCGGGGTCCCAAACGTAGTCTGACTGTTCTGTGATGGCGGTATCATCGTTTGAATTTTGAGGTCTGAAATTTTTTCTTGCTTGTGAAATTAAATCTAAATTATGTGTGAAATAATCTATTATAAACCATGCCAAAATTTTTTGTAAGTCATGTTTTGTATGTTGTGAAACATCATCTTTAGTGAAATTTTCTTTAATTATATGTAGAAAAGTTGAAATTAGTGTGATTTCATGTCGTACCTTTATATGTTTGGATGTCTCTGTCGGTGAGACACTTGGGATTGGAATTTCGTTCTCTAATATTGAGATATAACTATATATTATGGCAAAAACTTCATTAGTGAATATGGAGTTTGCTCTTTGTGAGTTATGATATTGTATGCTTTTTATGTATTCTGAGAATACTTTTGAAAATTCTAAATCAAGGTCGTCTGTTTGAATTACATATTTGCGATGATTCGGGTTTGGTGAGGTGAATTCTATGGTGTAGATTCCGTAGTGTTGTGTCAAATTACATATATCTTTCAGATAGTGATCAATAATTTGTCTTTTGATCTTTACATCTGGGAACTCTGCTTTACATGGGCTGAATCCGGGTTCAAATAAATTAATAGTAAATTCTTGCAAAGTATATGCTGTCCTCTATCATTAGGTGCATCTACGAGGAAGGGGAAGATATCGTCATCATCTGGACTATCTTCACTTGGAGTGTGTGTTTGGCTCATTTTTTCGTTTAATGACTGTTAATAGGTAATTATCGATGTGTCTAATTGGTTGATTCCAATTATATAAATGTACTGGTTTGTGTTTATATTGCTTTTTTATTCTTCTTTTTCCTCTTTTCGATGAATTTGAAGTTGTTTCTGAGTCGGAAAAATATAATTGATCGTGAATGGGGCAATTTTTATCTATAGATTCTTTTAATTTATAAAGTTCGTCTAAATTGCTGACTTCTGATTCTGAGAATGCGTTTCTATTTTTGAAAAATCTTTTTCGTGTTATTTGTCTTTGTTTAGTTATTTTTTTTCTTTTTAGTGTTTGTCGTTTTGTTCTAATATATCCAACTGTTTGTGTGCGAGGTGTGATTACAAGGTCGTATTTTTTGTTATCTATTTCACAGTTCTGCAAAACGATTGTTTGTTTGTTTCCTAGATTTTTAAATGACATAAGGTTTAGGATGACGGATGCAAAAAGTTGTTAGATGATTTCTATTTTCTTAAATTGTTAGTCCTTACGATTTTTTGGTTAGCTTAACCTGGGTCTATTTGTTCAGGGTTGGAGAGAAAAGTATATCGATTCCGAAGAATGATTTTTTACTTTCTCGTGGCTAGTATAAGCTAAGGTGTTAACTTACTTAATCTTACTTAAGGGTAGTGATTGTGTTCAAGGGTTGGAGAATAGTAAATCGATCCACAAGGTTCAGGTATAATTAGAACGCGAGTAGTTCGTTAGATACTATTTTAAACTTACTAAGTCTATGATTTATCCTGGGTCTGGTAAGAGGAGGGTTCAAGTGAAGGATGAATAACCGAAGTTCTTCACTGTTTATCCTAATTTGAATGGTTAGTTTTGTTGAAAAATTTCTATTAGTCTTGGGTTTTGCGAAAGGGTTGGATAGTGAATCGACGTTTGAGGTCGTTAGACACTAACTAAGTGGGTGGGGGAGAACAAAATTGTTCTTTTTGATCCAAGGAGAGGCCTTGATGATCAAGTTTTAAAATTTAACTAAATAGAAAATGAATTAAGATCCAAGGATAAGCCTTGATGATCTGATTTTAAAATTAAGTGAATTTAAGTTTAAAATGGTTTAAATTTGTTTAAGAAAAGATTTAGTGTTTTAATGATATTAGTGAGCTTATGATTGCTGTTATGTTTTAGGTGATGAAGCTGAGACAACTGATGATTTTATGATTACTAACAGATTATTGTCATGCTACTAATTTTTATTTTGATTTTCAATAAATATTTTCCAAACATGTTTTATATAATACTGCAGAATTTTAGGAAAACGATCTGAGATATTTTTATCAATCGTTATTGTATATTAATATTTTGTTTAGCGCCTGCAATGATCATGAAGATTGGCTTCAAGATTTTATGTTTGCAAATGAAAATCTAAATTCATTGCTAATAAAATTCTAAATATAAAAGTTTGTGTTGGCTTTTGCCGTACTATCATATAACTATTTGGTAAGTTTCTACTTTGTCGTATGTCGTCTCTGGTTCGAGGTCGTCTTCCAATTCCGGGTAGTTCTATTATCGTTCGGAATATTGGCTCTGATCTATTGAGTCGTAGAGACATTTCGATTAAATTATCGTCGTATAACATTTTAAAAATGTTTTGTCTAAATTCTAATCTATTTTTGGTTAATTCTAAGCTATTAAGGTCTTGTTCGAGACTTATGGTCGCACCAGATGAGTTATATGTGAGGTGGTTAACTCATAGAGTAATTTCGGATAGGGTACACCGTCTGCTCGTCACGCTATCTTATTTTCGGCCGGATAGATTCGTGCAACTTCTTAGTCTAATACCGATCCTAATCTTACTCTTATACTATCTAGTCTCAGGTTGTTTAACTAGTCTCTGCTAGGCTCAATAGATCTAGGGTATACTGGTTTATTGCGGCTGCTGAAGTTCTCTTGGAGAGTCAACTAATTTCTAAGTTAAATTCAAATCTCTCTGGTGCTGAAATTACAAGTAATTTCAGCACTTACAAATAAGTGGGTTGTTAGTTAGATGGATCATGATTGGTTAATATTAAATACTTTACAATGGTAAAATATCTAATTTATCCAATCATAAAATATAGTTTAGATCAGGTTCCAATATGACACCCCCGACGTTTTCAGCTACCCTCGCCGCACTTTAAATCCATACCCCTTTTCCTTACTTCCAGAGAGAAGGTGAATTTGGGTGTATGAGGGGCTGTGTGAACTCGAGAGGGGGTAGGGTTTTTAAAAAATTGATTAGGTTTAGATTTCGAGTAGGCTGTAAGTATAGCTGGTTTTGTTGAAAATTTTACAAATAATTTTTATTAAAACGGCAGAGAATATTATGGATTATATGGATTTTAATCCAATATAATGGATTTTAATAGGTTGTGGCTTAAGGTAAGTAATCAATTATAATGACAATATAACTTTATGGTCTTAATTTGCAGCAACAATGCATAAAAATGACATTTTAGTCAAATTTTTTCTATTTTAATCGTTTTTTATGAAACTCCGGTGCGACACCATCTAACTCATTTTGTGAAACAATTTTTCAATTGTTAAATAAAAACGTTAAATATGTTTTGTTGCTTTAGCTGCTGATCTGACAATACAAGTTGGCGACTTTTCAAAACCTAATGGAAATAGAAAATTCATCAAAGTGACCAAAATTTTCAAGCACCGCAAGTGAGTAATGCAATAAAGATGCTACTTAATCCTAAATGTTGAATTAAGGACTGAGCTCAATATAGCAGCCTTTTTTGGTGAACAGATCATCAATGAGTTTTCAAATAATAATTGAACAATTACCTATTTTTAGGTTATGTGGACCAAAATTTAATTAAAACTCAACTAAACACCTTACCTCTGATGTTCGTTGTTTACAGCTTCGCAATCCAGAACAACAAGCCTGTCAACAATTTGGCCCTACTTTATTTATTCACGCCTATCGATGACCAGACTTCTGTGGTTCATTTTTGCCAGGAGGCCCAAACTCCCGGAACCACATTAGTCGCAGTTGGTCTGGGATCTCTATCCGAGAGAAGAGCAATATTGCCAGAAGTTTTACATCAAGGTCATTTCACGGAGAAACAGTACTTAAAAACAGTCGAGACTGGAAAAATTGAACTGTGCCCTGAAAATGATATATGTACCAATCCTGTTAATTCGGGTACAAGTATAGGATCTATGGACGATGGAGGTGGTCTGTTTGCTCTGCCTTGTGACAATATGAGGACCGCATGCTTGTATGGAGTGGCAAGTTACGCCGTCACAAAAACGCAGAATGGCACTTCGATAGTCGAAGAGAGCGTGTTTGCAGCTACACATATGCACTTACTTTGGATTTTATCAGTAGTAGCTTTGGGCTGAAAAAGTTTTTAAGCTTTGCTGTTTTGCAGAAGAAAATAATTAAATTTTTTTTTTAATGATATACAACGATTCTTTCATATGCTGGCAAATCGTGTAATTAAAAAACTAAACTTTTTTCACTTTTGAGCACCAAGGATTCAAGCAAATAACTAGAGGATACTAATGTTACAGCGCTCTTAGCACAAATTGTATTCACACGCCGTGATAGTTTTGGACTTGGAGTTAACTTAATCTGGTAACAGTTTTCTGACCCCTTGGCGCAAAGGCTTGAAAAATTTATCGCGTTGGATGGGTTTTTCCTGGCATATTTTGGTTACCTCAGATAAAGCGCGTGTGACATCAATAAATATTACCTCAAAAAAGGTATCCTTTTTTAAGACCATTTATTCACGAGGGAAAGGACCAATATACGAGTTTTACAGCTCATCGCGGCGACCCGCTGTATTGCCCTTGCTTATAACTCCATTGATTGTGATTGGAATATCCAAGAACAAATCAAAAAATTTGTATCAGTGTCGCGAAAAATCGTTCTGAACGGTCTGAACGAGCATTTAATTGTACTACGGTATTTACGTCATTTAAGCAACATCTAAGCAAATCGGAGCTTTGCATCACTTGCGATACAACTCAAACTAGCGAAAAGAAAGCAAGCAAGCATGCAAGCTAGAAAAGAGAAATGAGATTGAAAAAAAAAACATGTCATAAAAAGTTGAAAATTGTAACAAAAATGGAAAAAAAGAAAACTTCATTTTCTTTCAGATTAACCGTCGCGAAACACAACAACCAGCCACAAATAAGTTTTCAGTATTTATCGAGCGACCAGTAAGTCAACAACACCCGGGTAGACCCCATTGAGCCGAAAAAACAATCCATGAAAAATTAATGCCATAAATAAACTTTTGAGCGACTAAGCTTAGAATCTTTGAACCTTTACATCACAAACGACTCGAACTATTTTCAAAATAACGATTGCTTTTGCGGATCAAACAAAACACAAAAATTTGACTAAACCGATAATAAATTAACCCAGTAGCGTGCCGAGGAGGGGGGTTGTGGGATCCCATCTCTCAATACTGGTTACCAAATTTTCCCAAAGCGTCCCAATGACCATTTTTGGCTGGCGAACCCTGAAATTTATCTGAAGGCGGATTTGAAAAAATTTTGAGGTCGGCGAGCCAAAAATGGATATCGTAAAGTTATACCCAAAGGGGGACCCTTTGGCAAAATTTGGCAACCAGTATTGAGAGGGGGGATCGCCCCCGCCACCCCCTCCTCGGCACGCTACTGGCTTGATTTATTATCGGCTTAGTCAATTCATTGCGTTCCGCTTGATCAATAAAAACAATTGTTATTTTGAAATAAGTTCGAGTCGTTTGTGGTGTAAATGTTTAAAGATTCTGAAATAAGTCGCTCAAAATTGTATTCATGACATTAATTTTTATGGCATTGTTTTTTCGGCTAAATGGGGTCTACCCGGGTGTTGTTGACTTACTAGTCGCTCGATAAACACTGAAAACTTATTTATTGCTGGTTGTTGTGTTTCTCGACGGTTAATCTGAAAGAAAATGAAGTTTTTTTTCCATTTTTGTTTCAATTTTCAACTTTTTCTGACATGTTTTTTTTCAATCTCATTTCTCTTTTCTAGCTTGCACGCTTGCTTGCTTTCTTTTTGCTAGTTTGAGTTGTGTCGCAAGTGATGCAAAGCTCCAATTTGCTTAGATGTTGCTTAAATGACGTAAATACCGTAGTACAATTAAATGCTCGTTCAGACCGTTCAGACCGTTCAGAACGATTTTTCGCGACACTGATACAAATTTTTTGAATTGTTCTTGGATATTCCAATCGCAATCAAGGGAGTTATAAGCAGAGGCACTACAGCGGGTCGCCGCGATGAGCTGTACAACTCGTATGTTGGTCCTTTCCCTTGTGGATAAATGGTCTTAAAAAAGGATAAATTTTTTGAGGTAATAACTTTTGATGTCACACAGGTTTTATCTGAGGTAATCAAAACATGCCAGGCAAAACAAAAAAAAGGAACATATGAAGTCAGGATTAGTAGGTTTACAAATTGAAAAAGTGAAGCTGCAACACTGGCATGTTCAGTGAAACTTCTAGGTTTGTATGAGAAATTTTGTACGAGAAAAAAAAATAGTTTCTGATTACAAGGCCTTGCTTTGTGCTCCTCAAGTGTTTCAGTTTCTAAATTTGTTGTGTTTTACTTGTTTAGCATAAGCAGCGCATTAAGCGCACTGAAATCTTGCTTTTTTTGTGTGAAAGCTTTCCAAAAACGCTCAAAAATTTTGTTCTTTTTTTAATATTCAAACGTGCCTGCTCCTTGAAAATTGAATGGCAAGAAAAATTGCGCTAGTTTTTTTGGGAAAACTCGATCAATCAATTTGTATGATTTTTATGACTTCTAGCGTTTCCATTTACTTCCATATTGACTGTGTATTCAACTTTGTCAAGGTGGTTGACGCATAATCTTGAATTGTCCTTAGTTCATTTAGAAATCAAATCTATTACTAATTAGTTCGCAACCAATCTTAACCTTTTTGAATGATTTTACCGCGATTTGTGAGAATTACAGTGAGAAAAATTCATGTCATGAATATCTTTAGGAGAGGGAGATCTTATTTAGAACCAAAGAGGAAGGGTTGAGCTCAGTTTTTTCCAGTTTTTTATTGTAGTACAATTCAAATGTTCCTAAATCTCCCTTTAATGAGATACGAGGGCAAATTTCACCGCTAGTCTCGATCAAACACCTAGGGCTGCTTTAAATTTACTCGAGCGCGCAATGCCATCCGAGCCGGTAAAATCTTCTTGCACTCGACTCAGTGGCCAGATCGTTTCTTTTGATCGCTTTCAGGACTTGTTGGACAGTTTACAGGTAGATGCTTCGTCGAAGGCTGCCGGAGCGTAGACGAATGGACGACCCATTAGAAAGTGGTTGTGTATCATCAAAAGGTCGTCGTCAAGGTCACTACTGACATGCGTTAGCGGACATGAGTTGAGGATTGTCTCAGTCTCGGCTATGATAGTAGCAAATAGACCTCTTGATAGTCGATCAGAACAAAGATTTAGTAAAAAGCTTGTTTTAGCATTGAGACGAGTCACTCCAACACGCCATCAGAGTGAAGGCGGGGGGGGGGGGGGTTGACGGAGAAGTTAGGCGCCATTGGACATTGTGGATTTGTAGCGTTTCAATTAGGGTAGTTTCGTTGAAGTTAATTGGTTCTGAGTGTAGTTGTTTATGGGCGCCGACGAATTAAATAATGTTGTCAGAGACTAAAAGCTTAGGTGCGGCTCTCCTAGCAATGAAGCGTCTAACTGGCCTTATACAGTTGTTTGTAGTAAGATTCTCTGTAGACTTCCGGTAAACCGCGCGAGTAGAGAGGCATGCGAAGAAGCAAGTAATGCATTTTTCAGTTGTATTTTTTGTTGCGATATTGAATGGCCCTATGTAACCAATTTCCGTATTTTTGAGTGGAAATGGATATTCAGACGGATCGTCAAAAAGAGTTGTTGGCAAGTCGGCCATGAGTGGATGTAACCCTCAGCCTTGGAATCTTCTACAGAGAAATCAATTATGTCTTATCTGTCTCAGCGTTTTCCGGAGCCCAATTATGGCAATACTTTGTTGCAGGTAGTTGCGAATGTACTCAGTACCGTGATGCATGCAACGGCAATGAGCGCTCTTAATCATCAAGCGCACAATTGTTTCCTTTGCATTTAGAACTATTGGATGCTTTGTTGCGTCCGGTAAAGCTGAGTATCATATAATACACATGATACTCGCGCGCAAATAATACCGTTGTCGAGAAAAGGTGACAACTTTGCAGTTTTTTTTTGTTATCAACTTGCTGCTTCGTTCTCAGTTGAATGTAGGTGTCAATAAATGTTTCTCGCGGTGAGGAGCTTGGCTTTTTCTAGGTCTTTCATACAGTTTACAGTTTCCCTTCAACGTATCGACAAAAACTAAAACCCGAACGGTGACCTGAGCTAATCGAAACCAATTTGAAAACCACGGAGAATCGATTAGTGGTGTAAGTTGGGGGGCTAACTGTTATAGCATTACAGCGTTCCAATGTTTCGTTTATCCTTCAAGTAGACTCATTGTTGAGTAGGAATTGTGATGCATCCAACCAGATCTTTGGTGCGTCTTTATGTTTAATTAACCATGTATACTGTCTGCTGGGTTGAGTTTACCAGGGATGTGTTTCCATTTTTTGGCTTTGCATAAAGTAAGTAATTCACCAACTCTTCTTGCGCAGTAAGTTTTCAGTTTACCGGTGATGCGATCCAGTAGAAAACAGTAGTGATATTTCTTCAAAAATGAGTGGAGTGAGGCTTCATTCGCATTTCATCAGAAGCCTTCTTGCATAGCCGTGCGCCCATAAAGATGGCTTGTAAGTCCAATTTCGGAATGCTCTCTTGGTTCAGTGGTGCTACATTTGGTCTGCCAATCAAGAAGGTAGCGTGTGTGTCGGACCTAAATGCAGTTCGGAAGTAGATACACGTAGCGCTTGCGTCTTATGGCGCGTAGCAGGAAGCATGAAGCTGTATATCACTAGGTGACAGCTGTGGTCAAAGTTAGTGCGGCAGGATCACAGGGGTGATCTGTTTGCATTGGTCGACCTATTTGTCAATTATTGAAACAAAGTCACTGGGCCGAGTTTTGTCCAGGGATATACCAAACTTCTACAGGTTTTGAAAAAAATTTTAAGTTTTATACTATCACCTCATTGATTTCTGTTATGATAGCAGTTGTGTTTTAACTACCGGATAGTTCTTCGGCATTTTTTTTCGCTTTTCCAGAGTAGAATTTGTTTTTAGCGATCTCTATCGTGCTCAATGCTTTGTTGTATAAACCTAAGTCGTCTTTTGCTTTTTTCAGAGTATGCAGTTTTGTTATCTTCTTGGATGCCTAATCCTTCACTTTTGCAGAGCTTTTCCACTGTTTCATTGAGAGCAGCGTCTTCTTGATCGTTCAAGTCAATGAAGTCAGTTGATTGTGAATTTGATCCGCAACTATTAGATTTCTGGTTGAGTCGATCCTAGTAGCATTTTTTTAGGTTAGAGGGTGCCTGTAGGACCATTCCTGATATCGCGCTCTGCAATATTCCAGTAAGCATCTACACCAAGCAAAACTTGCTCTGTGTTGTCGGCTAGATCAGGAAATTTCACATGTTGAAGATGATTGTAGATTGAGCACGCTCTGTTGAGGTTGTTTGCGTCGATGGCGTCAAATCTAAGAATTTCTACTGATTAGATTGACTGTAGAGTGAAAGTAGTTTTGATAGTATTATGTGGTCCAATATTTAGCCAATTCAGAGGGTAAGACACTTTGTCTTTACTGAAAGCACCTCGTACGCTAAACTGTAGTTTTTGGTTTGGTTTACACGAAGTGTTTCAGCTGTTTTACTGAAAATGTATGAGCAATTGCTGCAGTTGTCGAGTATGGCGTAGCAATATAGTTTGATGCCATTGTTAAAAAGTTTTACCGTCATAATTTTTAATTGATTACTGATATCATTCTCGATGGTATCCTGAGCTCGTTTCAAGGACTTGGTTACAGTTGTGGCAAGCTGCATGTTGTTAGATTTTTAGTAGTGCGCTTGAAACGGCTTTTTGTTGATGTTTAGAGCTGAATGATGTTCGCTTCCGCAATTCGCCAAATCTGAGTTGACCTAGGCAGGTGAAGCACAGTTTATGTTGTTTCACCAGCTCTGCCCATTGATCTACGGGAAATTTCAAAAAGTCCGGACATTTTCCATTCTAGTGGGCTTGGTTATCTATTGGACATGTTGAAGTGTTGGTCTTGGCGATAAAGCTGACGATCTGTTGTAGCTTTGCCTGGACATACAAGTAAATTGGTTGGGTCGGCTATTGGATTGTTGTTGCTTCGTAGGTTGGCAGTTTCGACTGGTTCGAAGTCTTTGATTCTATGTCCGGGTTCTCGCATGCTCGCGAGTATTAATGAAGATACTGCGTCAGGTCTTTGAGTGTAGCGTAATCAAGGTCGTGCAGCACGCAGTGATCTTCCCACTTCATTATTAGACTTACTGGGAGCTTTGAGCAAGCAAGTCGGGTCAGGTTACTAGAATTTAGATCAGCAGTGTAGCCGTTGATTTCGAAGTTGTGAAAATGTTTCACTAGGAAAGCAGCGTATCTGATGAAACCCTGTGGTTCGCTTAGTATCAGTTTGTCAATTTGTCAAGTTACATAGCTCTCTATTAAGGATCTAGTATTATCAGTTCATAATGGCTGCAAGTTAGTAATTTTTTCAACCGGACTTAGATGTGGGTTGTTGCCTATCGCAGCCTGAAAGAAATCGAACCAGTTATTCCACTCTAGTGGGCTGTCGTCAAACTTCTGTATTTTTATATCTGGCAACATGAAACCGTTCAAACTGTAGTTGATTCTAGTGGTCGGATGATTGGTTACGTGTTGACTGACTTGTCTTTGATCATTGCCGAAAAGACTGTTGGTTTCTTGGTAGTATGATTGAGAGTTGTTTCTATCGTGGTCGTCAAAGTGGTTGTCAACAATCTGTTCAGATGTAGTAACAGGACTATGTGCAATTGAAATTGTTAGGAGACCATATCGTTTAATGCATTTTATTAACTAGGCTTCGTGTGTTGAGTTGTGACTCCAAATGGGATTTTCATCGGAAACTGGTGGAGGCGAAAAGTTGTATAGTAGAAGAGCGGGAAAATTGAATGTACACATTTTTGCAGTAGGCGAGATTGATCTGAAATCAAATATGGAGAAAGCGGTGACACGTAGAGTTGAAACAGTGTCGAGGCAGTCTGGTGCTCCTTGAGTGGAAAACGCGGCTAAGTTGTCTAGGTGTTTATCGACCAGATCAAAACAAGTAGTTACTTCTTTGAAACTAAGCTTAATGTACTCGATAACACTTGAGTTGTCTAGTTGCTTCGTTACCTCTTCCTCAAGCTCCTAAAAAGTACTGTAGCGGCGTCTCCCTTGATTAAATAGTTGTTGTAAAGTTGAATTCGTTGGTGTTATTAAAGAAGGTAGTTTAAAGAGTAGTTGTTCACTAGACAATGTGGGTTAACATTTAACGAGCACGGATGGCAGCGATCGCTAAGTATTTCCATTAATGAATCTTTGTGAGCTTTCTTAAGAGTATTACTATAACTAACATTTTCTTTCTCTGTTGAGGTCAACCAACCGTAGTTTCCACCCGGTGGTTAAATAAATCAAGTGAATTACAGCGCAGTCATGAGTGCTTTGAATTATGATTGAAGACTAAGCGGTAAAACTTCTCAGTTTGTTTTTGGAGTTCAATTGAGCTAGAAAATGTTGAGATTTTCAAAAATTTTCGTAAATACTTTCGTAGATATGGTTAGTAAAACCCTTTTTAGTTGTGGGTTAAAAAAAGGTTTCGGAAACAATGGGCTTTTGAAATTTCGAAGCAGAAAATTTCAGCTATCGGGTTTTGGCTATCATTTTTTTTGTTTTGTATGGTTGAACAGTTTTATGAAACAATTTCTTCCTTTGGCACCCCGAGGGTTAATAATTGCATACAATGAATCAAATAATCAAATTTACAGCTCAGCTATGACTTTGTTGACCTGTTTTCTTGGTCAAAAATTTTATATTGAATGAGAGTTTAGAAAAAATTGTTTTAGTTATGTATCTGGCCTGAGTTGTTGAAGTCGAGCCCTGCCTGAGTTCGTTGACGAAGACAGCTGGGGGATTTGGTGTGCTGATGTTTGATTTTGTGATGGAAGCTTGATGTGTCCTTGATAGGTCCTTGTTGATGAGTCCCTGTTTATGCACTGTAGCACCTGCTGATTAAGGTCCTCGACCTTGATGTTTGTGAGGGAAGCTTGATGTGTCCTTGATAGGTCCTTGACGATGCGTCCCTGGTTATGCACTGCAGTACCTGCTGATTAAGGTCCTCGACCTTGATGTTTGTGATGGGAGCCTTTCTGTGTCCTTGATATGGCCTTGACGATGGGTCCCTGGCGATGCACTGTACTACATGCGGATGAAGCTGCTGCATAGGTAGAGTAGAACTTCACGACTCTTGCTTGATGACACTTAATTGAGCAGTCCTGCGTGTTGACTCTTGATGGATATCTGTCGGTGCTGAAAATCTCTTGGCGCATAAGATGAGCTGACGCAGGAGATTTGCTGTAGAACTGATTTTCCACTGAGGGGGGTCAATTTCCAGTAGTTGACTTTTGGAGTCTCGAGGGGGATGACGTCGAAAAAAATTGTCGCCAGATATTTAAGTTGGTCAAGCTGGTTGTCGCATAATCTTGAATTGTCCTTAGTTCATTTTGAAGTAAAATCGATTAATAAATAGTTCGCAAAAAATCATGATACTATTGAATGATTTCACCGCGTTTTGTGAGAATTAATGTGAGAAAAAATCATTTAAAGTGGGTTTTCACGAGGTGGTCCAGAATAAGTTGTCAGGACTGTTTTCCCCAGAACAAATCGACCTTTGTCAACTTGGCCTATACTAATTGCCACTTATGGCCACTTATTCTAAACCAACTTACCCCGCATGACGTTTTGCCCCACTGCACAAGTTGACTTGGAGCAAAATGACATGTAACCCAGAAAACGACTTGTTTTTATGCCAGTTAAGACCATTTTTACAGTATAATACTAAAACAAAAAAACTCTGAAAGTTTTTGCAAAGATTAGTTTGTGCTCGATGTAAAGTTCGACCGTGCTCCATTTTTTCGACTGTGCTCGATTTTATGTCCACTTTTGCCCTTAAAAATTGAAGGGCTTCGACTTTCGCATTTAGTTTCAGACTTTCGCGACCTTATGTTGATGTTGTGTATGGCTCTTTTCCTTATGTCAAAAGAAAAGAAGCACACAATTTCGCGTTATAAATTTTTGATCATGAGAGCAGTATACATTACAGCCAATTAATTTCTTTCATGAGACGCCAGGACTATTTGTAGATTGAGACTCAAAGTTTACTCAATAAATACCACGAAGCTAGATGTGGTTCTTATAAAGGTGAATCCGAACTCTTGTTCTGAATCAGTTTGATCAATGTATCATTCCATCTTTGGTCAACTTAGCCTTCTTTGCATTCTTTTTTCTCAACTCGCGTCTATTCCTATTAATGACAATGAAACTACATCGCTCCACGAAGATGAAAGTAATTACACACAGAGTATTACTAAATATCTTCGGTCATCAATTATAAATGGGCTTCCTAGTCCCACCCACGCGTTTTATGTAAAAGTGAAAGTTATTAGGAGGAGTGGGCAAACTGTGTTTTGTGGGGGAACCAGAATCAATCACAGATGGGTTATAACGGCTGCACATTGCCTAGTACATAGTGGAGGTACGAAAGGAGATTTTTTCCTGTTTTCAGGCGTATCATATACGAGGCGCAAGCATCAAAAAGAATACCGCATGGCATATCCTTAAATACTGGTTCTTGCAAACTGTTTCTAGTAACGTTAGTTCACTTACAGCACATGAACTCATAAGGCCACGAATTTCGAACCACCCTAATATAAAACTTATAAAATGGCCATTCAAAACTTCATGGCCAAAACTCTGTTAATTGTTTTATTTTGTAATTCGAAAAAAGTGACGGAATATTTGTGCTCTGGATATTTGTTCTCCACACAAGATTCGACTACTTAATTACCTTTTTCTGCCATCTGAAAGGTAGTAATGTTTCGAGTGCAATTTTTTTAAAAAAAATTGCTCGCCTGTGATAAGTTTTGCGAAGTTACGAGGGAGGGGAGGGGAGGTGGGGGAAGTTGTAAATAAGTTATTTGGGACAATTAACGGGCGATTATATTATTGCAAGTATAGACAAAATCGCAAATAGAGATAAGAATTATATTCATAGCTCAATGTTTGCCTTTCAAAATTTTGAAATTTAAACGTTGAAATATATATACAAATCCCCCCCCCCCCCCCCCTACGATTTAGGCTCAATTGGATTGGTTTTGTATTTCTCAGAAATGTGTTCTGTCGCATTCCTATTGGTTAACGTTATTTCAATTCGCATTCCTATTGGTTGACGTCATTTCAATAAATTTCATCCAAACCTTGTTAAATTTTTCCCCCCTATTGCAATAGGGGGGGGGGGGGGATAGTTAACATGATCCAAGTATAAAACTTCAATGGTATCCTTTTGCTTATTATGGAAAAAAATAAGGAATTAACTAAACTTTTCGAAATCGCTGATAATTTCAATGAGGTTTTCTCGTCTATTGGATCCAAGCGTTCATCGCTGTTAGGATTGAAAACATGAAACCAACTAAACGAATAAACGCATCAAACAGTTCGCAACCATTTAAGGCTTCAACTTGACATAAACACTCTATATTTAAAAAAGATTGTCTACGTGTTAGCCCCTACCTATGTTATCTGATACACCTTTCTCTTAAGGCAGGAGATTGGATCTACTTAACAATTGCCCCCCCCCCTTTAAGAAAAGGGGGGGGGGCAATTGTTAAGTAGACTAAAATAACGCATTTTCGACCAATCAGAATGCAGCAAAATTCTTATTCTCAATAGAAAGCTCAGTGCTAATTTGCTGCTTTTATTAATAGGTGTGGCAGTTCTGAAGTAGATACCAAAGGGGGGGGGGTAATTGTTAAGTAGATCCAGGAGCTTTTGCAAACCGCTCAAAAGCTTCCCTTGTTTTGCCCATACAAAATATGAAAACAAATTAGATGCAAAACTATATCGTCGCTTTTCTTATTATTCCGGAAAATTATGTTAAATTTCAACTACAATCGACCACTCTGTAGCCGTCCCTGCTTTGCTATTTTTGTTGTTTCCGAAGAAATCATTGAGAGTATCCAATTTGAAAAAGTTTGCTCGAATGTAGTTTTTTCATTGATTTGAAAAAAGCATTTGGTAATATAGATCACAAACTTCTTTTATAAGGAAATCGAATGGCATAAAGAAGAGGCAGTGAGTGATTGAAAATGGCTAAAAATTATAATACGGAGTGTTTTTCAGTGCATGGTTTTTGGGGAAAATTCTTGAAATTGGTTGTCAGAAGCATGTGCAGTTCAGTAGTGGGTCCGTTACTTTTCCTCAAATTTATAAATCACATGCAAATAGTTTCTGAATCATCTGAAGTTTTTCTTTTTATTTTTTGCTGATGATTCGATTGTAGCTTCAAGTAGTCTCGTTCTGTGTATTTATGAACCACGTAGAAAAAAAAGGTGCTTCTAGTCTTGAGTTAACCATCAAAAACCATTCATACACACCAATGCATTCTTAAAAAAACCGGGGAGTCATAGCTGAAAACAGAATTTCCGATCGTTGACAACAGAGTTTCCGAGCAAGATCATGTTTTTGCAGACCGATTTATATTAGGTCAACATTGTGGTATTTTTTTAATTTAAATTTTCGCTTCTCGAAATAATTTACTGAAGAATTATAACTATAACTTGAACCAATCGTTCACAGTGCTTTACACCATTGTTTTTGTGCCAGTTTTTCTCTGCCTTAAACCCCATTCTAGTTATGCAAAAAAATCCTTACGTCCTATTTTTTCAAACGTGAACAAGACCGTATGACAAAGTTTTTTTCTATTTGCATGGATTACCAAGAGTACACAAGCTGTTTGTCTACGTCTATGACCTTCTCAATTTTTGTTTTTGTTGTCAATAAAATTATTCAAATTGCTTCCTAAATCGGTTTTTCAGAAAAAATAGTTCAGCGTAGAAGACAAGAAAATCGCAGTTCCTGTTTTTGAGTCTTGTTGCAAAAACAAATTGAGATCAAAATTGCGCAAAAGTAGGGTGGTTACATTCGCTCAACATTAGCTTCTGAAACTGAGGAGATTTTCAACTGAAAATTTTTGTTCTTTTGAATTTTTGAGAATTGTTTGACTTGTGCCTAATTTCAAGAAAAACTTTTATTTTAGGAGGGAAATTATATTTTGTAAAACAAGTGTTTGCTGGTAAATTTTAGTGAGAATTAGTCGTGAATAATTTTCAACCAGTCCTGATTTCGGTTACGTTTTACTTTTTGTAAACTGAAACCCCTCTTAAGCTTTTCCATTGAACACTGCTGAATGAGCTCACTTTGTTGTCCTCTGTCCTAAGAATTTTCGGCCTGTCTCACAGTGGTATTGAGAATCTAGGCACATGTCACAGTTAGATAAATCGATAACCGTAAAAGCCGTCTTATTCAAGAAAATTAAATAAACCAGATATAAGGGCCTACGACTAGCGAGTTTCAGGTCTAAACTGAGCCAGAAGCATATTCACTAAAAGACATCCAGGTTCTCATCAGAGAACATTAGATTGAAATACTACCTTGAAAACTCTTGTAACGTGAAAGTTTGATGTAAGCGGTTTCAAGTTTGTGATTTGAATTGAACTCAAAATGTTCATTTGCCATTTATGAAGTATAATGATCGCTCTCATAAAAGTAAAATGCTTGTCTAGTGGGCACATTGCAAGCTATTGTTTGTCACTTTCATCATGATTTTTTTTCACTTTTTGAAATTAGTAAAATCATGAGCTGACTTTTATTTGTTAGCGTTATTAGATAACAAAAATTTCTCAGTTTATCTTGATATACTTCGTTCTATAACGCTTAGCGGTGATTAAGCCCTGCTAATAACTCGATCAAAATTTATTTGAGGCAGAATATCTGTCCTTCATGTTAAATAGTATAGCGAAATCTATATATATTTTTTCTTTTGCTTTTGATGCTGTGCAAGTTAATGATATCAATATTTTAATTTTTTTCTTCTTTCGAAAGTTTCATTAAATTTTTAAAACAGAAAACGATTTCATGAACTGTAAGCGGCAGTTGGAACAATCAAGGCTTCGAAACGGTGTAAGCAGTCATTTTTGTGATTGACTTGGGTAGGAGCAGGAAAATGAGTTTAGTTTCCATAAAAGCATAAAAGAACTGAATTAACTTTCAATTTCAGCAGCAAAATAATATAAAGACATGACTTAATTCTCATCTGCTCGAAAAGTTCATTCAAATAGAGGATGAACAATTATTAGCGCCAGGACATAGCTTCATCTGAAACTTTGAGAGGGAATCAACGGATATTTTATGCTAAAAAAAAACAAGACTGTTCGTATCAGGGCGAAGCCCTGAATGTTCGGACTGTCTTTTAAGGTTTATGGAGAAAAAATAACATTAAAAAATTCAATGAAATAAAACAAAATGAAATTTTTTCTAAAATGTGATTTTTTTTAAATGAAAATCATCCCCCACACGCCATATAAAGTACAAAAGGATAGATTTTGCTCCTTGTAACAAAGCAATTATGGCAAATAAGCTTCTTTTAACCAATTTGGAACGATTTCTAAGACGGATTAACTCTCCGCTTACGCGTTAATAGCGCGAAATATATCGCGCTTTAATTGTCACAAATTGGCCAAAATGGCTACCTTTAAACCCCTGTAACTTTACGAAAAATGATCACAGGTGAAATATCTTTTCAAATTTGAGCTCAGGACAACAATACCTTTCGAATGATATTAAAAAATTCCGTCAAAAATGGCTAGTTAAAAAGTCGAAATTTGTCTGAAGAAAAAAAAACCCACCCCGAGCACAAATATTCCGTTACTTTCGTATCGAAAGTCGGAACAAAAAGACTGATCTTATCAGTACAAAGCCATGAATGTTCCTACTGCCGCTTAAGATGTAAGGCATAAGTAACCCTTTTACAAAATTTTAAATTTTGATTGAGTTACTTTAACAAAATGAAAAAAGTCTGTTTTTCAAATTTTTTGATAGTTTCAACCGCACACGATATGCGAAGAGGTACGGGATGCTAACATTGTCTAGCAACATCTCAATGCTTGATGTCCTAAATTTTTAAAGCCGGATTAAGCTTTCCAGCGCTATTCAAGAAAAAAAATATCGCGCGGTCTTTGTTCCATTTTAGCTAAACTGGTTTTTTCAAACCCGCATAACATTTCAAAGAAAGTCTTTTAGATGGCAGAAGAAACTATTTTCATAAAATCTTCATTAAAAAGTTCATTTTTGTCTGAAGAAAAAAATAACAATGGGCTCAATTATTTTCTATTTACTTCAAATTTCGGAACCACGACACTTGCTCCCATCATCTAGTAGTGCTCGATTTCAATAAACTGATGAAATATTTTATGAACAATGATCTAATTGAAAAAAAATTTAAGAGTTTTTCAAAAATCATCTGCCACCCGCTATTGAAAGTATGTGATAGAATTAAAATAAATTACCGTGAAAATGAGAACAATTAGTGAGCATCATTTCAGTTCGTAACGGGTTTCTGAGCCGGATCAAACAGCTGCGTGACAAAATAGCTGGTTTAGAAAACAATAAAAAAATTCTCCGAAAACAATGAAAAAATTCCCCATAAATAGCTAGTTAAAAAATCGAATTTTGCCCAGAGACTAAAACTCACCCCGAGCACAAATTTTCCACAACTTTGCTCAAAAGTTGGAGCAAAAAGTGGTTTGCTACAGTATTCTTTTAGGTGCCACTATTGCTATCTCCGCCGGGGATTTCACGAAGCCTAACAAGACAAAACATGTTTTCTTTGTGGACAGTTTCTACATGGCAAATGGGTAAGTTCGCATTCAAACAGTAATCTTAAGCTCATTTGTTTAATAAAAAACGTCCAAAATCTGAATACAAAAGCAAAGCAGAGCCTTGAATAATTTGCGAGACAACACAAACAAACAAAATAGGTCGATGAAAATTAAGTTTTCGTTAACTGTCGATAGAAGTTCATTTTGAGCAATAATAATTGAATATCAAATTAGCAACAGAATAAAACTTAAAACGAAAAAATAAGCCGACAATTTTTGAGCAGACACAAGAGCAGCCGAAAAAATTATATTGGGAAAATTTCAGAACAAAAGCTAATAATAAAAATACAAAATAAAAAAAACGGTTTTAATATTACAAAATGTTTTTGTATAAAGGATCCAACTCCCCACTCAAACTACATTGAACAACACTTGCACTTGCAACTTCAATGAAAAGTTGCTTACAAAACGAAAAACCTGTGATAAATAAACTTAGCCGACAGTCTTTGAGCAAGTGCAAGTTGAGCCGAAGAAGTAAATGATTTTATCCCCTAAAAGTCCCCTAAAAGTACGTTCAAGAACACTCATACTTGCAACTACAAAAAAATAGCTTACAGCTTAAGCAAAAATTGCGATATGGCAACTTGGACGACGACGGAACTTTAAGACAACATTCGAGAAAAGGAACAAAAATCCTGCAATTCAATTTTGGCGGAAACTCATTTTAATAGCATGCATAATGAAATAAAAACAAAACAAGGGCCGACCGTGACTAAAATACCTAATCTTCGGGTGTACAGTCGACGTCGTTACCTCCAGGTTAAGTGGCAACAACAACTAACCTTGAAGCTTTGAAGTTTTATTAAGAAAGCAAATATGATTTCGAAGAGAAGTTATTTACACGAAAAAAAGTCTAGCTCCCAATCACAAGACTCTTGTTTTGGCAATGGTAAGAATTGTTGTTTATTTCCTGGAAGCTCTATTTAAAACACAGGAAGTTTTTTTAAAAAAATGATTTGAATACTAGTATTTGAAAAAGCGCTAATTCTCAACGACGCTGAGATTTTTGTCACATGAAATGTTTAAAAGAGCTCACAATTTTAGCTTCGGATTTGTAGATCACGCGCCTATTAACGACATTGCTCTGCTCTTAACCAGACACAGCATGACTAACGATCTAATTGAAGACGCTATCCCCATGTGCGAAAGCCGACAACCGATCGGAACGGAACTGACAGCTTACGGAATGGGCTCTACTTCCAACGAAATATATAGGTTTCCTTCTCGGTTGATGACAACTAGTTTTACAGAACTGTACCTAATAGCAAAGGCAGACCCATTTCGAGTTGAAAGGTGGCGATAGAATACAACTGCATTACCTAATAAATAATTTTAACTTCCCCCTCCCCCCTCATAGCTCCAGGCAGAGATTTTTCATTAGATTTTAAAAAGTTTTCTTGTTTTCAGTTTATCAGATTTCAAAACTTGCATCTTGGTTTATTCAAGAGCGGATTCAGAATTTTCTTTTGCAAAAAAACAGGTTTAGAAAACAAAAAACTGAAAATTAGTTCGTCTTTTTAGATCGATCAGATTGGTGCCGTAAAACACTAAACAGACCCTATTTCGCAAAACTTTCTGGACAGTTGGCAAAGGTCGTAAACCACTTCGTGATCTGTGGAAGTCATATCCCCCATTATAATCGGCTACTGGGCCGACTGTTTAAGTTTTGGTCGTGTTCACATGGGGTGTGCACGCTTTTTTAAGTGAGAAATTGTTCACTTAGATCTATCAATAAAAGGTTTTAAATACATTTAAAAAGTTTCTAAATTTCATCAAATGAACAAAATATGGTGTACTCTATCGTCCAAAAGGTGCCATCAAAGCAACATCTGCACTGATTCGATTGTTCCAGGGGGCAGCATAGGTCACGTGGATCACGGGGGTCCCTTGTATGCTACTAGGTGCATCAACGAACGACCCAGTTTCTGTCTATACGGAGTGATTAGCTACTCATTTCCTGATCCCATCAACAGATTTCGACAGAAAAGTGTGTTTGCCAGTTTGCCAGAGCATTTTTTGTGGATAATATCAAGGATGGCCCTTGTAGATTAATTCAAATTTTTGTAGTAATTTGTTTTAGAAGGCATATTGCTGCATGAAAATGATATTGTGCTTTCAATAACTAAATTTGGACTGAATATAGAGTTTTGAAATACTACGGGTTTGGATCAAAAAATCAGTTTGTTGAAGCTCGAAAATTAAACAAAAAAAACAATTTTCATTACGAGGCCAAACTGGTGTATTTTGTGAATGGTTAGCGGACTCCGATCTTTCCTTTTCGATCTTCCTTTGATTTTTCAGTTTCTTGGATCAGACTTACACACACCAAATGTTGCGCCTATCCACAGCATAGTTTGGCGTCGTAATGTTTCGGGAAAAATTCTTCAAAGCAAGTTAAAGCAAGGCTAAAGATACGTTGAGAATCGCTAATTGGAGCCTTTGAGCAAAAAATTGATCCGTTTATATCCTTCTTCATACAAGCAGTTTTGTTATAAATTAAACACAGAGGCAAAGTTGCACTTCGCATACACAAGCAAAAATACTACCGATAACACTACTGGGAAAAACTGAATGAGTAAAACTTTCAGTTTACAAAATTTCTTAAACGGCGCACGCCAATTATGAGTCTACATAATTGCTAAGTGACGCAAGCCAATTATGACGCATTAGCAGTACCAGTCAATTTGAAAATAGAAACTTACCAAATAACATGCCTCAATTTATAGAGCGGACGCAGTTTAACTAGTATACGAAACAGTTCATTAAAACATCCGACCCTGCCAAGGTTCGAACCCTTTTATTCTGTTGCGGGTCTCCTTCCCCAACTCTAAGCTACAGATCCATGATACCTTGAAGCTAAAAATCAATTTGTAATATTATAGTCCGTGTAAAGATAATAAGCATTGGTTGTACTTAATAGCTGCTTGTTGATCAAAATGAACCTAATTTGTCGCAACAATATTAGCGACTTAGGTTGGAAAAAAACACACAATCTTTGCTTGTTTAAAAACAGTATTGGACAGTATATTTTTAAAAAGTTATGTTGAAAGATCTTTTTCTGGCACATGGAATCCTGCCTGATCATTATCATTATAAAATGGTTTGCGCAAATTTAGGAAATGGAGAAAGGAAACGGGGGGCGCTTTCAGGACTAAAAAAACTATGCAACGCCTCTACTCTTTGGATCTGATGTTTTTATCCGTCATTTTATTATTGTTCAATTGTTTCAAGTTTTCAAATTGACTTTTTTATTACTAGTAATTACGCTGGATTATGAATTCGAAGATTTTGCAAATGATACTTTCAATTTTTTTTTGAAAAATATGGAATGTGCAGTTGTATGATGTCGTCGGTTTCAAGTTTTTGTTTATGAGTTAAAATACGATCTGAAACCCAGTAGTTTTCGGAGATTCGACCCTTTCACTTTAGAAAAAACCTCTTAAATTGAAATTTCTTTAATCGTTCAAGTTTTGAAATCAACGCGGCATTGAATTACACCGTCTTTTGCTACGGTTGCATTCGTTTCGTTGTTTTTTTTTTCATTATTAAATAACTAAACAACTTTCACGTTCACTAATCTGTTGGAACTACAAGTTTAATCTGTTTCTGATTTGTGTTTTTAAATATGAAATTTTTCCAAATTAACTGTTACTTTTTCATATTAAAAGGTAATTAAATAAGACTAACGTAGCAAGAATGAGAGGCAAAAATTGCTTAAGTAACGTTGGAAGTAAAATAACGTTAGAACTCTGAAACGGTTATCAGCCTCTCATCGGTCGGAAAATATTCGGACCAGTTTTTTTTGTACTTTTTCTGTTGTCTGTGATCCACTGAGATCTGAATTTTTTCCGTGATTTAAATATATTATGTACATATCAAGTAAGCTCTCCAGAAAATAACATAACCAAATCTAAGCCTGATATTATTAATTATATCAAGTGGGCAAGTCCTATGGTAGGCGGCATTAGTGAACAGCTTTCAAGGCTTGAAACCACGCGACTTGAATAAGCGAACACTCAAATCGATTATTAACATTCTAATCTTTTTATGGCAATTGTGATTCACAAGTTTCAACCCTAGTATTGGCTTAAATTTTGGACAAATAGAGTTTGTAAGAGCTGCAAATACAGTTAGCTCGTCTATATTCAAGAATACAGTTCAAGCCCGATCATGCATGTTTTATGCTGGTTTCAACTTACCAGTGTAAGTACAAAACAAATTTCTAATTTTCAATTTAAACATCGAATAAATTATAACCTTAACTCCGGGCGTAACTGAAGCTGTACTAATTAACATTGATGTACACATTTTTATTAAAACAACTAATACATTTTTACTGAGTCAGTATAATTGACACAGGTCTGCCCTTGTATAGCTGAGATACCGATTCTTCAATTTTCTTTCTAATAAAATTCGAATCCTCTTCCAGTTTAGCTTTCATTGGTCGCAACGACTGTTCTTCCTTTGCAGCCTCAAATAAAGCTTCTTTCAACGACTCTGCTTTTATTTTCAGTTGCGCCGAAAGTTTCTTTTTAGTTAACAGACCCTCCGCTATTTTCTCAATATGCGAGCAATCATTAAGCATTATGAGCAAATCACGAGTTTTCTGGTTGGTTAATGACTGCAAAATTTCATCGGCTATTTGTAAATATTTGTTTACTTGTTCAATTGATTCGTCGGTTTGAACAAAAATAAAACTACTGTCGGATGATTGCTCCAACTCCAACTTTCGCACGAGCAGAAAACATTTGAGCTCCTCTAAATTGGTCAGAAACTTCAGCCTTGTCTCCTGTGATTCAAAAAGTGAGCTCGTTTTCTTCTTGCACTCAGTCGACCCAATCAAATTGGAGTTGGCAAATTCTACATTTTCAGAATCTCCTACTACTTCGATTGCAAAATCAATAATGTTTGAATTGTCTACTGGTTCATCATCTCCGAAATCTATATCACTATTTGCGACTTGTGACGCAACGATGACGTCATTTTGACCTGTTACATCATCGATTCCCCAGTCAATGTCACCCAAATCGGTTTTGGTTGTTGGAATGTCACCGGCATTAGAAGCGTCTGCGGATATTTTACCGTCATTATTCACCGTTTTGTCAGTGTCACCAGCTGTAAGCGATGAAGGAAAATCTTCGTTGTTAACAAGCTCGTACTCACTAGTTCCTAAAAAATTTTCACCGTAATTTCAGGACTGCGGCTCCGAAAACATAAACGAGATTTTAAGCAAAGCAACATTTTATATTATTAGCGACAGACAATCAACATAGCCAACAAAACAGTTTGAAAAGAGTCAAAAAACGCAAAGAAACAAAAAAAATACTGACTTCTTTTCGAAAATACCGCAACTTTACGACTTCAAAGTAAAAAGCACAACAATTTTGAAGCAATCTTTGAATTTCAAATGCAATTTCCGATTAATCAATTTGAGAAAACTTGATCAATAAGTTAGTTTTTATTTCGCTGGGAAATCTGAAAATTAGACTCCGCTGTCGAAACTAGAAGTCAATCACCTTTTCCACGTTGACTATTTATACCTAGATCAATTCATAAAACCATAAATATGTACGAATGCACTTCTCTAAAATACTAGAGCAATTTAACTCTTCGGGAAAAAACTGAAAAAAGTATTCACGACCTATATAAGAGTCTGAACACCATTAATCAAATCTTAAGAATATATAACCATATTGCTCTTTGAATTTCAAGGCGAACTTATGATTGAGAATTTTTTGATAAAATTAGCTCAATTTGAGAAAACTTGATTGATCAATGGGCAATGTTTTGATTACGCTAAAATCTTAAAAATAAATATCACTATCGAAACAAAAACTTGGTCACGATTTAACGCGCCATGTGAACAAACAGCGATATCTTGAAGACAAAAAATCAGCTTAAAACATACCATTAAGATAAAACAACAGATAAAAATTAAGACAAAAAAATTTGTTTTAAGTTTTATAAGGTAATTTCTATGCTTATAATAAGTTCAATTCTTCTAAATAAAACGCGATGCAAAAGCTCACAATAAAAATGAATCCAAGCGAAACAGTTCAAAACATTATGAGAACACCACAAAAAGTTCAAAATCCCGAGACATATCACTCTAAGCTACAGAAGAACAAGGAGAGCTGGTTACTGTGCAAGAAGCACGACCATAGGCTTAAAAAATACAAATTAGGTCGTTTTTTTTTTCAAATTAGGGTAGTTTTTTCAAATTAGCCTCGTTTTTTCTGCGTGGTGCAATAAAAGGATCCGAACGAAAAACTAGATTTTAGGCATATTCGACAGTCATAGTAATTTAGGCAAATGGGACAACATTTTCTGAAGAAAAAAATCAACACAAACCATAAAGAAAATTTAAAAAAAAAATTTTATAGCAGAAATTTTTTGAATTTCTATGAAGTTTTTGATTGCCAAAATTAAGCTAAAAAACTTAAGTAACTTTAATCGAGTAAAACATAGTATGCACTTCTTAAATTAAGCATAAATATGCTACTGTACGCCTCCTTTCTCTCTTCTTTTGCTCGAATTTAGATGGAAAAAATCAAAAATTTTAAACCTGTTTTTCTCGATAATGGGACAATTTTTTGAAGGTTTATAATGTCGTTGGAATCATGACTGAAAAATATATATCACTCGACCCATTCCGATGATTAATTGTGGTATCTGATTTTGTGTGAAAAAAAAATAAAACACCCGAATACAAAGTTCCTCCCTATTTCAATGGTCGGAACAAAATCGAATATCATTTGACAGTATGAAGGCGGTTAGAAAAATAAGTGGGAACACTATCGACGTACCATTTCCACTGCTGACTCACTAGTGCCTAAAAAATTTTCACCGTAATTTCAGGACTGCGGCTCCGAAAACATAAACGAGATTTTAAGCAAAGCAACATTTTATATTATTAGCGACAGACAATCAACATAGCCAACAAAACAGTTTGAAAAGAGTCAAAAAACGCAAAGAAACAAAAAAAATACTGACTTCTTTTCGAAAATACCGCAACTTTACGACTTCAAAGTAAAAAGCACAACAATTTTGAAGCAATCTTTGAATTTCAAATGCAATTTCCGATTAATCAATTTGAGAAAACTTGATCAATAAGTTAGTTTTTATTTCGCTGGGAAATCTGAAAATTAGACTCCGCTGTCGAAACTAGAAGTCAATCACCTTTTCCACGTTGACTATTTATACCTAGATCAATTCATAAAACCATAAATATGTACGAATGCACTTCTCTAAAATACTAGAGCAATTTAACTCTTCGGGAAAAAACTGAAAAAAGTATTCACGACCTATATAAGAGTCTGAACACCATTAATCAAATCTTAAGAATATATAACCATAATGCTCTTTGAATTTCAAGGCGAACTTATGATTGAGAATTTTTTGATAAAATTAGCTCAATTTGAGAAAACTTGATTGATCAATGGGCAATGTTTTGATTACGCTAAAATCTTAAAAATAAATATCACTATCGAAACAAAAACTTGGTCACGATTTAACGCGCCATGTGAACAAACAGCGATATCTTGAAGACAAAAAATCAGCTTAAAACATACCATTAAGATAAAACAACAGATAAAAATTAAGACAAAAAAATTTGTTTTAAGTTTTATAAGGTAATTTCTATGCTTATAATAAGTTCAATTCTTCTAAATAAAACGCGATGCAAAAGCTCACAATAAAAATGAATCCAAGCGAAACAGTTCAAAACATTATGAGAACACCACAAAAAGTTCAAAATCCCGAGACATATCACTCTAAGCTACAGAAGAACAAGGAGAGCTGGTTACTGTGCAAGAAGCACGACCATAGGCTTAAAAAATACAAATTAGGTCGTTTTTTTTTCAAATTAGGGTAGTTTTTTCAAATTAGCCTCGTTTTTTCTGCGTGGTGCAATAAAAGGATCCGAACGAAAAACTAGATTTTAGGCATATTCGACAGTCATAGTAATTTAGGCAAATGGGACAACATTTTCTGAAGAAAAAAATCAACACAAACCATAAAGAAAATTTAAAAAAAAAATTTTATAGCAGAAATTTTTTGAATTTCTATGAAGTTTTTGATTGCCAAAATTAAGCTAAAAAACTTAAGTAACTTTAATCGAGTAAAACATAGTATGCACTTCTTAAATTAAGCATAAATATGCTACTGTACGCCTCCTTTCTCGCTTCTTTTGCTCGAATTTAGATGGAAAAAATCAAAAATTTTAAACCTGTTTTTCTCGATAATGGGACAATTTTTTGAAGGTTTATAATGTCGTTGGAATCATGACTGAAAAATATATATCACTCGACCCATTCCGATGATTAATTGTGGTATCTGATTTTGTGTGAAAAAAAATAAAACACCCGAATACAAAGTTCCTCCCTATTTCAATGGTCGGAACAAAATCGAATATCATTTGACAGTATGAAGGCGATTAGAAAAATAAGTGGGAACACTATCGACGTACCATTTCCACTGCTGACTCACTAGTTCCTAAAAAATTTTCACCGTAATTTCAGGACTGCGGCTCCGAAAACATAAACGAGATTTTAAGCAAAGCAACATTTTATATTATTAGCGACAGACAATCAACATAGCCAACAAAACAGTTTGAAAAGAGTCAAAAAACGCAAAGAAACAAAAAAAATACTGACTTCTTTTCGAAAATACCGCAACTTTACGACTTCAAAGTAAAAAGCACAACAATTTTGAAGCAATCTTTGAATTTCAAATGCAATTTCCGATTAATCAATTTGAGAAAACTTGATCAATAAGTTAGTTTTTATTTCGCTGGGAAATCTGAAAATTAGACTCCGCTGTCGAAACTAGAAGTCAATCACCTTTTCCACGTTGACTATTTATACCTAGATCAATTCATAAAAGCATAAATATGTACGAATGCACTTCTCTAAAATACTAGAGCAATTTAACTTTTCGGGAAAAAACTGAAAAAAGTATTCACGACCTATATAAGAGTCTGAACACCATTAATCAAATCTTAAGAATATATAACCATAATGCTCTTTGAATTTCAAGGCGAACTTATGATTGAGAATTTTTTGATAAAATTAGCTCAATTTGAGAAAACTTGATTGATCAATGGGCAATGTTTTGATTACGCTAAAATCTTAAAAATAAATATCACTATCGAAACAAAAACTTGGTCACGATTTAACGCGCCATGTGAACAAACAGCGATATCTTGAAGACAAAAAATCAGCTTAAAACATACCATTAAGATAAAACAACAGATAAACATTAAGACAAAAAAATTTGTTTTAAGTTTTATAAGGTAATTTCTATGCTTATAATAAGTTCAATTCTTCTAAATAAAACGCGATGCAAAAGCTCACATTAAAAATGAATCCAAGCGAAACAGTTCAAAACATTATGAGAACACCACAAAAAATTCAAAATCCCGAGACATATCACTCTAAGCTACAGAAGAACAAGGAGAGCTGGTTACTGTGCAAGAAGCACGACCATAGGCTTAAAAAATACAAATTAGGTCGTTTTTTTTTTCAAATTAGGGTAGTTTTTTCAAATTAGCCTCGTTTTTTCTGCGTGGTGCAATAAAAGGATCCGAACGAAAAACTAGATTTTAGGCATATTCGACAGTCATAGTAATTTAGGCAAATGGGACAACATTTTCTGAAGAAAAAAATCAACACAAACCATAAAGAAAATTTAAAAAAAAATTTTATAGCAGAAATTTTTTGAATTTCTATGAAGTTTTTGATTGCCAAAATTAAGCTAAAAAACTTAAGTAACTTTAATCGAGTAAAACATAGTATGCACTTCTTAAATTAAGCATAAATATGCTACTGTACGCCTCCTTTCTCGCTTCTTTTGCTCGAATTTAGATGGAAAAAATCAAAAATTTTAAACCTGTTTTTCTCGATAATGGGACAATTTTTTGAAGGTTTATAATGTCGTTGGAATCATGACTGAAAATTATATATCACTCGACCCATTCCGATGATTAATTGTGGTATCTGATTTTGTGTGAAAAAAAAATAAAACACCCGAATACAAAGTTCCTCCCTATTTCAATGGTCGGAACAAAATCGAATATCATTTGACAGTATGAAGGCGGTTAGAAAAATAAGTGGGAACACTATCGACGTACCATTTCCACTGCTGCCTCCCTTGCTACTTTGTTGTCTGCCATATTCAAACTCATGCACCGATGTATTGCCCCACTTCACAATATACTTCATTACCTTCAACTCTTCCTCCGCCTCTTTCCCTCCCGTTCCCGTATTCTTCCATTTGTGCTTGGCCGAGAACCCATTAAACAGTCCAATTGCACCTTCCAACTCTTTACATTTTTCCGCAACCCCGTTCAGAAAATCGCCCAAGCCAGAGGTCAAATCAGTTAGCTCCTGGATCAAATTCTCACCTCCACTTACTCCGTACTTCTTACAATTAGAGTAATACCTGGCCATCGCATCTTCAGAACGTTTGTTCAAGTCCGTTATTTTCTTGTCCAGATCCAATTGCGTGTTTTTCAGCTTGGAAATTTGTTTGCGGTAGTATGGTATTTCGTAAACTTGAAGTCTAGCAAGCACCATAGCTGATTCCGCTAAATGGAGATTGCCTTTTTCGTATGATTTGAGAACGTTGTAAAGACTTTTGAGAACTGGCGAGTTATATGAACCGAATATGTTAGTGTCCACATTTTCAGTTTTCTGGAGAGATTCAAATAAGTCCTGGATGTGATAATAGCACAGAGATGTCAGTTTTTCCAGCTTTTTTCGAGTTTCTGAAATGTTCAAAACGTAATTCACCCAACTGTTAATGGTATTAGCCTACTATTGAAACAGAAGAATATCTTAAGCCCTACAGTTAAAAGTATTAGCCTAATACTAAAATGGATCGATAGCTAAACTATTTAAAACAATTCGACCGAAACGTCTCGGTAATTCACCCAACTGTAAAAAGTATTAGCCTAATAATTAGCCAACAGACAGATGGAAAAGAGTCAATGAACGCAAGTAAACAGACAAAACCTTAATTTTCGAATTTCGAAGACAAAAATAGATGGCCTCAAATCTTTGTATTTCTAAAACGATTTCTGATTGGCATTTTATTGATAAAACTAACCCTATTTGAAAAAAAACTTGATCAATAGATAAATTTTTAAATTTTGCTGGGATACCTGAAAATTAAATTCCATTTTTGAAACTAGAAGTCGGTCAATTTTTTAAGACCTTTACACTTTTGCTGTTCGATAGTGCATTTCAAATTCCTTTTAACAAAATAAATGAACTGAACTTGAAAAAAAGGAAAGTCAAACCGCAAAAAAGTAAATTTGAGCCTAAACTAATTTAAGACTTTTTTCTAAAAAAAAAACAAACAAAAATCGTCACGACATATAAAAGACTCTGAAATACGTTTATCGACACTTAAAACGGATGAATAGCTTATACCCAATATCTACACGTATTAACCTAATATTAAAATAATTGGATAGCTTAAATCATTTAAAATACAAAGAGGCTCAAGTCGATACATTTCAATTTTAAATTCTTGCGCATAGAAAACAGAAAGCCTCAGTTTAATTGCATCGTCGAATGCCACAAAAGCTAACATATAGAAAATGAAAACGCATAATCGTATGGCTTTGTTATAAATAGTTTAAGATGGAGAAAAAATAACCACAAAAAATTCCAAAATAAAATACTTAAAAATTTAGCAAGTAGCTATATTTCATACCGGGGTCTATCAGTTGTAGCGCTTGCGTGAGGTCTTGTTTGATACTGGAGAGAGTATTCTGGTAGTTGCGACTACAGTGTCTCCTGTCAATCAGCCAGTCCAACAGCTGGTTAGAATGGATGTCAATTGACACATTCATGTAACTCATGATGTTATTGCTGTTCGTTAACAAGCTGCCTTTTCAATATTTATCCACTCAAACTCAATTTTACTTTCACCTTCATTGAAATCTGAAAAAAAAGATTATTAGCCCAAAATGAAATTATTATACCATGTGAGATGCTGCAAGTATGAGTACACTTTATTTGTTTGAGCCTAGCCAAGCTGCGATAAGAGATGACTTTTAATAACTATTTCATTATACTTATAAAACTGACGCATGAAACATAACTAAAGGCAAAACAGCGTACCGTATTAACAAGAAACTCAACAAAAATGGGTCACATGCTTCGAAAAAGAAATTAATTTTTGGTAAAACTAGTAAAACTTAAAATATCTACTACGAACTTTGCTTATCAAGCATTTACTACAAATTTTTATCTTCTTTAGAGCACGTTTAAAGAACCATGCGATACGCTATAAGAAAAAAACTTAGTGTGCTCTTTCAAAAGAAAACAACGATTGCAAAAAAAAACATTTTTCAATTGGTTAAAAAATGACAAAAATCTAAAAAATCGAAATCACAGGTAAGATTTAGTTTCAACCAGAACATCACAGAAAATATCAGGTTTCCATGATTAGATCTGTAAACACTATAAAGGACTTGCTTTCACATAAAAAGTATTAACAAAAATATCTCATTTCACTTTGCATTAGCGCAAATATTGCATTTTTCCATTTACTCTATCCTTGAAACTTTTTTATCTCACCCAACTTGAGAAAAGTTAATCAATCAAGTTTGCTCATTTTGCATTTTAATTATTAGAAAACCTAATTTGGCAGCCATTTAGTAAATACGAATGAAAAGAGCAAAAAATCTTCTTAAGAAAATTTAAAAAACTACCACCTAAAAGTTAAAACTCACCTCGTTTATCAACTCTTACAGATTCTTCATTTACCAAACTTAAATGTTTCAAATTAGATTTAAAAAAAGGAAATTCAAGAACTCATGGGTAGAAGTAAGAACAACCTCAACATCGACGAGTGGGGAAAATAAACTATCTTAAAAAATTTTAAAAGCAAGGAAATTCAGGTCAAGAAGCTGAGCATAGTCAACAGACAGTTGGAAAGGCCAATGAACGCAGGAGAAATAAAATATTTTAAAAATCTCAACTTTCGAATTTTGAACAACAAAGAGGACCTTGTAGCTTGTTGACTTTCTAAAACAATTTACGATTGACCAAATGTTGATAAAATTAACCCAAGTTGAGAAAACTGGTCCAATGTGTAGACTTTTATTTGGCTGGAAAAGCTGAAAGCTAAATTGCTTTTTCGAAACTAGAAGTCAATCACTTTTGCTATTCGATAGTGGATTTTGCCTTCCATTTAACAAAGAAAAAAACTGAGCTTAATAAAAAAAATCAAATGTCAAAACTTTAAACTTTTCCTGAAAAAAGCAAAACAAAACATCACGATCTATATAAGAGTCTGAACAACTCACAGTGAGCATCTGACGAGAAAAGTAGTCAGAGGAACCTCGAGGCATTGTTTTAGAGGAGCAGCGAAAATTTCTTATTTGGCATTATAACACGGAGGCAAAGCGTAAGTTCGCACCTTTTGCGATACATCAAAATTATAGCATGTGAAACAGACCAAAAAAAAAGATACAAAATATTTAAAAAAATGTTTAAAAGGAGAAACAAAATATCTCGATTGATGTTAACTTTGCGAAAATATGTAGGGAGACAACCGCCCGCGTAAAATTAGCATTAAAACTAGCGAAACCACTTAAGTAGACGCATGTATTTTACAAACAAGCAAACACTGATAAACGGACCTGATACGCAAAAAAAAACAAATCTAATTAAATCAGCGTGAGTCTCATATCCTCGCACCTGCCTCTTAGCGTCATGAATTCGAACACTATCCACCAAAACAGCTATATAAAATATGCTAACAAACTGCCACAATTAAATGCTAAGTGATGCAGAAAAAATGCTTATTTGTTGAGCAGTTTCATGTAATTTTGAAAACTAATGCAAAAACGCTAACTTGTCGAACACTGGCCCATGAGCTCGAAATTTGAAACCAAATATATCGCCTTAAGCCTCTTTAACTTTCAACAATCGAGAGCTATTTTGAGTATTAAAAATTTTGAGAATTGAATAAAAAACAATCAAGAAACAAGGATAGCCGGTTGCTGTGCAAGTAACACAGAATGATCCGACCAGATTCCAGGTCGGATCATTCTGTGTTACTTGCACAGCAACCGGCTATCCTTGTTTCTTGATTGTTTTTTATTCAATTCTCAAAATTTTTAATACTCAAAATAGCTCTTCCAGGTAGTGTCTAAATGCACGAATCAACTTCCAGGTAGTCGAAAATGGACGAATCAAAAATATCAACCCACTAGGAAATTTTTTCAGAACTTTTATATGATCGTTCGAAGCACAACTGAAAGGAATTGAATATGATATATCGGGCAACTCAGTCCAATGATTGTTTGTGGTACCTTATTTTGCATGGGGAAAAAGAAAATAAAACACTATCGAAAACAAAAATCCTCCCCATTTTCAATGATCGGAACAAAAAGCACACGGCATAAATAAATGTCTTCACTTCGTTCTTTAACATGGGTTCTTAAGCGCAAAATGGAGATAGTTTACGAGTGATCTGTTGCTGTACCACTGGCGCAGAAGATTTAAGCCAAGTTATAAAACTTTTTTTAAAGTTTCTTTTTTGGGCAGAGGGTAAAAAGTGGATCCTTACAAACTTCGACTTAGCGAGCTTTAACTCCAACTTCAATTTCTAGTCTTTTCGTTTTTGATTCAATAACTAAGGAAGAAAAAGAAGGAATTTTCGGATACGATAGGCGCTAGCTTCGAGAACTAGTTTCTAACAGATTAAAATTGTTAGAAAACAGTTTTTATCTTCTTAGTAACCACCGGCGGCCGGGAAAAAATCATTGCGGCTGTGAAAAAATTAAGTTATGGATCTGAAATATAGAATTTCAAAAAATTCAACAAATATTCAATGAAAATTAGCAGAATCTGCAACATAGCTAGCCAAGAGAGAATTCGAAAAGAGTCAACGAAAGCAAGTAAACACAGAAAAAATACTGAATTGCTTTTGAAAAAACTTTCAGAATAAAAAATTATTGACTTTGCAGCTCTTTGAGTTTCCAAAACAATTGACACTCGTTTATGATTGACACTTAAATGATTTAATTAAAATTGAATTCCACTTTCGAAACTAGAAGACTTTCACGTTTTTTCACGCAATTTTCGCTTTCGAATTCAGAGAGCGAATTTTGCCTACCTTTTAGGAAGTGAACTTGAATTGATCTCAAAAAATTGCCCATATACCTAAGTGCATTCATAAACGCATTATAATGCATGAAAGCACTTCTGTAATTATTAGAGCATTTTAAAACTTTTTCCTGAAAACAAAAAAAAATCATTAAGTCCTAAATTAGAGTCATCATACGTTACTGTCACAAAAAATTAAAAGTAAAAAAATTATCAACAAATCAAAATTTTCACGCCGATTTTTTTTGCTTCTAAATACAAAATATAGTCTTAAATCTCCACACACACAAAAGCTACACTGAATTTGATATTCTCCAGACAGATACAAAAACACCGACTAGACCAGCAAATGAAAACAGCTGTAGAATGGACGGTTATTTAACTATTGAGAAAAAACTGCGAGTATTAAATTCGACAAACTTAGCAGAAAAACAGTTAATTCATAAAGTCGAAAAAAGATTTTGTTCAAAAATACCTTCAAAAAGCTACTGAAGGCTCAAACCTCTGTATTTAGCATACAACTAAAACATAAAAGTAGGCCAACAAAAATTAAGCCGAAAGCGACGAAGTCGAAAAAATACTAGAAAATTTCAGTTTATTTTTTTTATTATGTATATATTGGAAAAACTCTAAGGCGTCGACAGTGGTATTAGAAGATCATTGCACAAAAGTAATATGCTGAATATGATGTATTAAATTCACCTGCTGAGAACTGAACAAATTAAACATAGCTAATCGAAGATTGGAAAAGAGTAATGAACGCAAACATAAATAAAACACTGACTTTCTTGGAAATAGAACTTTCGAATTTCAAAGAAAAAATAGAAGACATTAAAGCTCTTAGAATTTCTAGAACAATTTATAATTGGCCCTTTTTTGATAACATGAACTCAGCTAGAGAAAACTGGATCAATAGGTAAAATATTTATTCCGGTGGAAATCGTGAATTTTAACTCCACTTTCGTAGAAATAGTTTACGTTTTTGCGCGCCATTTCCACGTTCGTAATTTGCTATTTACGTCACTTTCAGCAGATGAATTTCAATTGAACTCAAAAAGTGTGAATGCAAATCTGTAGTCATTAGACTTTTTCAGAAAAAAAATCAGCAAGAGTTATATAAGAGTCTTCACTACGTTCATTACTCTTAATTACGGGATAAAATTCAAGTACACGATTGCAACTCACTTGCAGTCGCAAGTGTAATTTAATATCGATATAATCTTGGCTGATGGGCTTTATAATCATACATCACTCTACTTCTACGGCGCGTCTTTGCGGCACCAGAATTTGTGTAAAAAACACTCTAAATCAGTGCTCGAAACAAAAAAAGGAGCCCTTCAATTCGGCTGCAATTCTAAGTTTGGTATACTTACGCTATACAAACTAGTATTCTTTCACAACTGAGGCTCTTGCATTTGCTAAAAACTATGATTTTTTAACAGACTTTATTGTTGAAACTTTTATTTCAAAAAGAAACTAAGAGAACCTGAGAAAGAAATGCAGGTAACATGTAAAACGTATTAGCTTCACTGATTGCTTTGCTTATTTCAAATGGCACGAAATAGTAGCATTAACACATCGAATTTAACTCGCAGATGATCATTAACAAAAGTCTATTACAATTCTACGCCCTTTGATAGCGAATATACTTGTCTGTCAAATGGGCGATGGAAGTTAAATTAACAGAATTAATTAAGTTTTTTGGTAATTGTGAAAAATTAAACTAACAGAATATGCAAATAATGCGATGATGGTCATAACTAATACTGAAGTAGTTGTATAGTAGCGCTAACTCACTACCCTACACTGAGCATGGTTGTTTCGTAACTTCGGAAAACTCATCGAAGATACTACAGCTGTTTAATATTTTCTGCACTTAATAACAAAGCAATGAGACTAAACGAAACCTGCTGAACAATTGAATGTTCACATTGATTATTATGTCTGCAAATTGAAGGTATTTATTTCAATATCGGACGAATAGTTCAAATCAAAAAGCATCAGGAAGCGCTGGTTAAAAACCAGACAAGGAAATCTAAAGATAAACTACAAAATAAGGAAAATAGCAAAACAAGATAGCTTGGTTACATACAATTAATCAGTAGCTCCATAATCCCAAAACTGAATTTGGGTCTTATTTTTTAACTAACACTAAGCGACGCTCAGATTTGAAATTATAATAATCAGCTGTTACTAGTACAGTTTTACTGCAAAGTAATCATTGTTGAGTTTCTGACTTTTGATGCCCGCTGAACATGTTTCGAGAGATATTTGAAGCTTTTGAGCGTCAAAAGTCGTTAGAACTTTGAAGTGATTTGATTGGAGAAAGTATAAACAAACCGAAAACAAAGAAGAGTAATATTTGAGGTAAATTTAAAGAATTTCGAAAATTTACATCTTCAAGATGTGGTCATTAAAAATTTGTATTGCAATTTTTCTCTGCAGACTGGAACATAAAAGCATAATTTAAGGATTTTTACATTCAAATTAACAAAAGACGGTACACATAATTCTCTTGCATGTAACATACAATTTTAGCCACCCATCTGTTAAGAAAACTCAGCGCTCATGAAAAAAAAACGCAATCACTATTGCACATAAATTTATTAGCACATGCGAATTAAAGCTTCTATCACATAAGGCACACATTTATGGACAATTTTTTGTCCGCTTTTCAAAAACTTCAGTTGAGTGTCAATTTTTGTAATTTTCCACAACTTTTTACGTTCAGAAGAACCCACCTTCAGCAGTGCTCCAAATCTGCCGCGGTAAAGACTCAAAAACCGAGTCCTCGCTATCCTCTGACAACAGTCGCTTCTCAGTGGCCTCGGCCAGCAAGGCGTTTACACTAGACATATTGGACTCTTGGGCCACATCGTTGCTGTGATTCTGGATTTTCTGGACGGCCTCTCGAGTGAACTGCAGAAAGACCCATTGCATGTTCCTCGCTTTTCGAGTGATTTCAGCCAGTTCCTTCACCGCTTGACACAACGCAATTCGGTCTAAATGCAAAAACTTAGCAAATAGACAGTAATTGGAAAAAGGGCCATTATTTCAAGAAAACCAAACATAGCCAACAGACAGTTGGAAAGGAGTAAATAAACGCGATGAAACACTAACTTGTTTCTGAAAAAATTATAATTTTCGAATTGCGAAGTAAAAAAAGAGGCCATAAAAAGATCTGAAGAGCTAGCAAGCCCACTGCAGCTAAAGCTGTTCCTGAAATATGATAATATTTGTTTCTCAGAAAAATATGTTGGATGGATGGATGGTTAGCAGGTTGTGAGGATGGATCGATGAATGTATGAATTGATGGCTAGACGAATGGATGAATTGAAGGAAGGATGGATGGACAGCTGGAAAGATGGATGGGCGCAAGGAAGGCTGTCTAATGAATGGATAGACTGCTGGTTGGAGGGATGGATGACTTGAGTGATCGCTGGATAGAAAGATTACTGGTTAGATGTATAATGGCTTGATGGATTACTGGTTGGATGGATGGCTGCATTGATGAGATAATGAATGACTGGATGGCTAGATCAAATAAAGTCTAGAAAGATGGCCGGCAGGATAACTAGATGCATGGATGAATGGCGGCATGGAGGGACCACTTAATGGCCAGGTAAATTAATGGCTTGTTGGAACAATGAATGGATGAAGAGATGGCTAACCAGACATGGCAGTACGGATTACTGATGAGATGCACGGCTTTATGGATGGATGGATGGCTAGATCGATGATGAATGGCTGGCTGATATGGATGGATCATTGGAAGGACGGCAGGATGTACCGATGGATAGATTAATAGCTGGGTGGCCGGTTGAATGGTAAGCAGGACGGATGAATGGCTAGATCGCTAGATCGGAAGGTTGGTTGACTGGATGGATGGATGGCTGCTTGGGTGGGCAGATAGCTACATGGATTGATGGCTGGATCAAATGATGACTAGACAGATGATTGATTGTTTCGATGCATGGGAGCATGAGGTGGGTATAGACGGATTGAGGGATCGATGGATGCATGAAAGATGGCTCGTCTGAATAATGGATGACTGATTCGAGTAATGGATGGCTTGAGAGAGGGATGAATTGAAGGATAGCTGCTTGGATGGATAGTTGACTGGTTGGTTGGAGAGCTAGATAGACGAAAAGATTGATGGTTTAATGGATGGCTGATTGAATGGATCAAAGAATGGGGGATCGATACAAGGCTGAATGATTGATGTATGGATGAATGAAGGGATGGTTATCATACTGGATGGATTGCTGGATGAATGCATAGCTGTTTGGATGGGGGGATGGGTAGCTGGTTGGATCGGTGACACGCTAGATGAATTGTTTGATGGATGGATGTTTCGTTGAATGGATGGCTAGATGTATGAATGCTGAAAACATTGGCTGGATGAAACCATACAATGAACGTCTTGATGGACGGATGGTTGAGTGTATGCCTGGCTGGATTGATCGATGGATGGAAATGTAGATAGATGGATGGCTATAAGAATGAAAGGACTGATGCACGGCTGGCTAGCTTATTAGAGGGATCGATAAAAGAATGAAAGAATAGCTAAATGGCTGGTTAGATTGCTAGACGAATAGATGGATGGATTGATAACTGCGCGGGTTGGACCTCAAAAACGACATGATCTCGGCAGTCACATTTGGAGGCAATATCTGGAATCTCCGGGAAAGTTAACAAGACTCCACTATAGGATGACTTGAGGATGGCTGGTTGTACGGATCGCTTGATGAATGAAGAACTTGACGAATGGATGGATATATCGTTGTATGGATGACAAGATCAATGGATGGCTTGATGAGGGGATAGTTCGAAGGATGGACTGCTAGACGGAATGATGGCTAGTTGGATAGATTGAGGGATAGTTGAATCTCAAAAAAAAGGTTCCAACAATCCATCCTAACTTTTTTCCATTTTTGAAATATCAAAAAACTCGGAGGCCATTAGAGTTAGAGCAACCATTTGTATGCAGGCCATATCGGCAACCCCTGAGTGTACCCTGATAGCGTGCAATTATTGGGTAGTCAATTCCAATTTAAATGAAGTTTTTTTAATCCAAAATTTATGAAAATTTTACAAAACGCCATAAAAAACAAATGTCATGTCTCGGAAACTAAAGAGATTTGAGCAACTAAACTTGATGGCAAATTTTGCAATTCATAAGAGTACCGCTATAGAGTTGAAAATCTAACCTTTAAAAAACAAAATCTTCAAATCTCGTAGGCTAAAAAAAACCTGTTTAATCATATTATGGTATTAATCATAGGATGGAAGGAGCAGCGCAGCGCAGTGTAAAGGTGGGAATCATCCATCTATACAATGTAACAGGCGTTTTCGTTCAGCGTTTATTTCAACAAATTTCAAACAAGCAACCCTATGGTGGGGCGCTGTCAGGGTTCTCCAAGGGGTTGCGAAACTGTTATTGCAGTAAGGTGTTTATTACACTAGCAAAACTGAAAATTGAGATCGTGAACTTTACAATTTTGCTGTTCGATAGTGAATTCGCCTTCATTTTAACCACAGAAATGAACTGAGCAAACTTTTCCTGAAAAAAAAATTATCTGGACCTTTATAAGAAAGTTCACCGTTTAGACCTATACTTTCAACGACTTTTGGCTTCTAAGCGTTTTCAGAATCTTTGTGTGATGAACACTTTTTTTGCTAGAGCTGACCCAATTCGAATAAACTGGACCAAGAAACAAAACGTTTATACCTCTGAGATATCTAGGATTTGAAAACTTTGAAGTTTAGACATCCCAGCGGAACCAACAATTTGCCTTTTGATCTAGTTTTCTCAAACTAAAATAACATCATCCTTTGACCCTAGAAATCAACTTTTTCACGCCATTTGCACTATTGCTTTGAGATAGCGTAATTTGCTATTTATTTTGCACATGAATGTGAAATAAACTTAAATAGAAATCCAAACATAAAGCGCGTAAAAAATAAACTTAAATGAACAACTTTTCATATTTTCTTGTGAAAACAATAACACAAACTACCAGACTTAAACATGTGGTTTTTTGAGTTTGTTTATTGACACTAACAAAACATCGACACAGAGGCGAAGCAAACACTTGCGAGAACATGACAAAAAGCAGCTCTAGAAAGTGCAATAAGAAAAAACAGAAATAAGCCTCGAATTAGCAAAAATTCGGCTAGGTATACGAATCGACCTGCCACCTACTGCAATCAAGACATTTTGAGTATCACTCAAATAGACACAATTTTGCAAGTAATAATTTGAATTATAACAAACTGAAGAAATCCACAATAACTTTGCATGTAAATCGCAAAGCATAAAGCCACACTATGTATAAATTATGCATTTTTAATAAATTGTGAGATACATTGAGTTAGAAATTTTCTCGAATCGAGTTTTTATGATTATTGTGGTTTGAAACAAGAAAGCTGTTTTTTCTGTTCATTTGATGAATTAAATATGCATCAACTAAGTTAAATTTTTTCTATTCGAATGTCAAAGCACATGCTATCAAAAAGCTGTAAGGTGCCCCAAAACTGGCACCAATATTTGCGACTTAGGTTAGAAAAAACGAGGGTTCTTAATAATACACTAAGCTGACGCTAGTGTAAACACACTAACCAATCAGCCACGGAAGCGTAATAGGCACAAAACACTAGCAACAAATAAAGCTAAGAACAGTTGCTATGCAATTTCCAATGCTACAATGAAATTTCCAAATAAGTGAACACTTTTATTTGCGAGTTGGGTTAGAAAAAAAAAGGTTCGTGATCGCAAGTGTAGATAATTCTATCAAGGTACCTAATGTTATTTCATTTTTGCACAAACAAGCCCCCAAAAATGTAGCATTGATTCAGTGTTTTTTTAAACGTGGATTACGAAAGTGCTACACGAACGAAATTGCTACCAAAATTGTGAAAAACATTAGAAAAATTCAATTCAACTAGGAAACGCTACAGGTTTGAAAATCCAAGCCTAAATTTAAAGCAGCTCCCACCTTTGTCATCGTGTCCGCGAGATGAATTGCCACCCTGCATGTTATTCATACCAGGCATGAAACCATTCACAGGACCCACTGGCAAGTGTCTCTGACGATTGGCCTGGCTATTAGTGTCCTCTCGCCTTCTGGCCTGCACTTTGCGGATGGCTGCCAACCACTGGTCCATGGTGATAATGACCTCTGGAGGGATCGGCTGAGAAACTATGTCTTGCCATTGTCGCAGCACTTCGTCAGCTTTGGAGATCAGCATCAGCACCTGCGTAAATAGAATTACGTAAAAATTGATGCCCTAAACTAAACTTTTTGTTTTTCAAAACATTTCTGAAGATTTACTATTCCCCTCACGATTTATATCCCTTCATCAACCAAATCTTATCCCTACGGAAGTAGTTGAAGCTATCCATGAGTCGCCGAACGAACCTATTATCAAGGTTTTTTTTTAATGAGGGCAAAAAAATTTGCATGTGCTGGAAACAAACTGCAATAAACTTGAAAATTTCACTCCTAACTTGGGGGAAGCAATATTTTCCCGGAAAAATTGAACCCTTGTAAAGTAAGTTTAGTCGGCCTAAGACTATTTAGAAATAACAGCAACCCATTAAACGCAACCTTCATAAGTTGTCAGTTGTTTAAGTTTCATGATTGCAACGAGAGTTAATTTGATTTGAACTAATAATAATGTTATTCACTATTGAAGCAACGAAAAAAGCAAGCAGACTGAGAAATACTAGCTATTCTCGACTAAATGACCACAACGTTCATGCTTTTTTAACAGAGACGGAGCTGCAGTTCGCAAGCACCAACGCAACGTCGAGAAAAATGTTCTAAAAGCAAAGGAAACTCACAAAAATTATGTCTTAAATATACAAAAACCTTGGTAACCTACAAAATACAAAAACTTCACTTGGCCAGAGCCATGGCATTTTATATTACTTAAACGCATAATTTTTTCTGAGTCACAAGGCAGCACATAATGCACTTTGTCAAATAGGATAGCTATAACATGCTGTTCAACACAGATACGAAGCTGCACTTCACATACACCAGCAAAAAACATCACACACACAGCTAGTGAAAATTAGGTCTTCGTATGCATTCTATTGAGTCGTCGTGTGCAATTTAGAGATTCTGACAAAAAAAAAACGCAACATATTTTGACAGAGGCAAAGCTGCAATTTCGCAAACAGAAGCAAAAGAATTCCAAACAGTAGCTCCCGTAAAAAATGGAAAAAAAATTACAAAAAATCAGCTGTGTATCGGAATCCTCTAACCCTAGCATCTGCGCCATAGGCGAGCAAACAATCTTCAAATACTAGCCCCTCAAAAAAATGTTTATCAGGAAATTTTACTAAATCACCATCTTTGTACTTCCGATTTCTCTATTTTTTTTGTGCGACTTGGTTAATAGTTAAGTGTAGAAGAACAATGAGTGTAAAAGAATTCAAAGAAATTCAAAAAAAATTGATTTCAAAATTTTGAACATTTTCCAACTTTCGAAGAAAATAAACTATCAAGTTAAAGCTCTTTTAATTGCAAAAGTTTATCAGGAAATCTCACTAAATTACCATCTTTAAACTTAAGGTTTCTGTAATTTTTATTGTGTGATTTGGTAAACAGTTGAGTGTAAAAAAAACGTTGAGTGTAAAAGAACTCAACAAAACTTAAAAAAAAAACGTAGCCAACTGACAGTTGGAAAAGAATCATGAACGCAAGGAAAGTGAAACTAATTTTTAGAATATCAAAAAAAAATAGATGACCTGAAAGCTGTTTGAATTTGTAGAACAATTTATGATAGACACTTTTTAAATAAAAAAAATTAACCCAATTTGAGAAAAGTGGATCAATAGGTAAAACTTTTATTTCGCTGGGAATTCTCATAAATAATGTCCATTTTCGAAATTTACGTCGATCACGTTATTCGAGACCTTAACACTTTTCCTGTTCGATTACGGAGTTTGCCCTTCTTTGAACAATGGAAATGCACTGAAATTTAAAAAAATCACAAGCCAAGCCGCAAAAAAATTGCACGTTTTTACACGCTTTCAAATTCAGAGAGCGCATTTTGCCTACCGTTTAGCACATGAACTTGAGTTTATCTCAAAAAATTGCACATATACCTAGGTGCATTCATTAAAGCATTAATATGTATGAAAGCACTTCTATAGTTATTAGAGCACTTACTGAAAAAAAATCACCAAGACCTATATAAGAGTACTCACTACGTTCATTATTCTTAATTAAACTTTGTACACTTTTCTCAACTTTTGAAGAAAAAAATACATCTCGTTAAAGCTCTTTGAACTGTACAAAATGTTCATGATTAGCACATTTTTCTTTAAAACTAACCCAAAACTTTTAATACTGCAGTGAGATCTAAAAACTAAAATCCCTTTTCGAAATTAGAAATCGATCACGTTTTTTCCGTGCCATGTCTTCTTCCGTAATTGTAAAGCGAAATTTGAGTTTTCTTTTACCAGAGTCCAGCCAAACATCCAGAGAGGATATTGAGTGCAGCTTGCCATAGTCTTGAGCATTTCGAACTTTGAAAGCATTTAATTAATATCTTCGGATTGTAGAAACCAATAACGGAACGGCATATCTCAAAAACTAAGATGCTTTGAGCAAAAAATGGAGGCTCGATCTGCAATCTTGAAGAGTACCGAGAGAACACCCCACTGTAAGGCTGCGAATTTCAAATTTTGTAACGTTATTTTCTTTTAATTCACGTTTCCTTGAAAAATTAAAAAAAAATAATGAAGCCCTCATTTAAATTGACCAGTCATAATGTGAGGCAAAATCTGAATCACCTGAGAGTACCCTGAAAGCACCCAAACACAAGGGTTGAGAATTTCAACTTTTGTCATGTTAATAAAATTTCTTTGAAAAAATTTCGAAAAAAAAAATCATACAAAATGTCAAATCTCGGAAACTAAAAAAATTGACCAGTCAGATTTGGAGGCACAATCTGCAATGCCTGAAATTATACTGACAGCATCTCACATCATGGAGTTAAGAACTTCATTTTATGTCAAGTTTTGAAACATAAGTCTTTGAAATTTTTGAAAAAAGCGTAAAAAAACGTCATATATCGCAAATTGAATGGATTTGAGCAGTCATATTTTGAGGCAAAATTTGTAATCCCTTAGAGTACACTGACAACCCCCAACTACAGGGTTGAGAATTTCAATTTTTGTAATTGATGTTTTATGAAAACTTTCGAAAAAATCGCAAGAATCTTCGTATCTCGTAGGCTAAAAAAATGGGTACTTAAATGTAGAGGCCCAATTTGCAAACCCTGACAGCTTCCCACTTTTGGGTTGCGTTTATTCAATTTTGACAAAAAACACTGAATAAAAATTGTAAATCAAAAATCAATCTTAACCATTGCAATATACGATTTGCTTAAAATAAACGTGCAAAAAAACATGCAAAAATAATACGATGAAAAGCTTAAGCTTAGCAAGATAATGAAACCCGTTTTTTATCATATAATAGATTGTAAAATCAAAAAAATCTTAACCATTGCAATATACGATATAGCTTAACGTGCAAAAACTTTTTTTCGTTAAACATGCAAAAAATATAATACGTAGAAAAAGCTTAAACATGGCAAGATAGTGAAGCCCGCATATAAATATACTCTAGATAACGCTTGAAAGAGCGTTAAAAGGATAATTAAAATGAGATTTTCTTTGAAGTAGTCAAAATCGGGCAAAAACAAACGCCCTGAGCCTCTGCGCCATATCTCCTTCGTCATGCCGAGAAGTGGCCAGAACAAAAATGAAGCTGCAGAAATTGCAACTATTGGCTAACATGCTCCCAAACTAGACTTCACGCTTGAAAAACTCTCCTCTACCGCTCCGATGGCCAAAACGAAACCACCACCCATACAATTTGTCACTCTTATACTCAGATGTTTATACAGCTGATGCGTAAATCAGCTAAGTCATGCAAGGTTATCCAACACAAGATGATCAATTAGTTTTTGAGTTTGAGTCTGTTTTAACAGATTTTGGATGTCTAAATTTCATAATTTTTCTGTTAAACTTGGGGTTAAGCAAATTTCAAGCTATGAATTAGTTAGAATTAAAGAATGTTTGGTTAAACACAATAACAAGCATGATGGTTCACAAACTACACACTACTACATACCTTTCAGAGTCAAGTTGACCCATCCTATGTCGACTTCAGGGAAACTTTATCCTCCGTTAAAAGCCCGTTTATTCGGGTATTGCAGCTATGAAGATAAAATAAAGTTAAACTGATTGAGCTAAAAACCACAATTGATATTCCACGTTAAAGTCGGAATAAACTACGTATTTGCTGAATAAGAGAGAAAGAATTTATTCCTCATGATCTAAATCAGTTTAAAATCAACCTCGCGAAATTGTATAATATTTTTCATTTTAATACTAAAATTTCTAGAAGCCATTCTTTAATATAAAATCAACCATCAAATTTTTAAATCAAATTTTAATATTTGTCAAATTCGTTGACAGTTACATTACAAAAGATCAGCTTTCAATTCAGAAAATAATATTTTAATCCCAATCCATATTTTTGAATAATGAAGGGCTCTTATAAAGATAGTGATTTGCTGAGCTCTTCTACTTACTTTTGGATGCTCCTTCTGCATCTCACCCACTAGTCTGTCCACCCTGGTGGGGTTCGGGGGCAGTCGAGGGGGCTGATTGGGACGTCTGTTGTCACTTCGCATGTCATGCTCGGGGAAGAGGTGCGCCAATGATACCTCAGTCTAGCAAAGAATAGCAACAGTGTTATCATTATTCCAACAGAAAGTCGCAAACAATTCACGTTTTTCGCTGCAGCAAAAATTTCCCGTCAAAGTTTCACTGATTCTTAAAAGTTATGCTTTTAAATTAAACAATATATCTTTGAAAAACGTTACCAATCCTGCTGTTAAACACCAATTGAATTTTAAAAAGATACTATCCATCAAATGAAGAATTGAGTGGAAAAGAAGCGTTTCGACCATCAGAAGCAGTAATCTTCAAACGATGGTATAATTTTTAAAATATACCTATTCAAAGCCAGGGGCCTATTTTTCATCAGGTATGCAACTTTTTAAGGCTTATTCCCAGAACAAGCTCAGCCAAGTAATTAAGCATTTTAAAAGCGTGTCATTTGCTGAGTACAAGGGATACGTTGAAGACCCCTCCAGTCATAAAAATTAAATTTATCTATTCTGGTGGGAGGATAGAAATTTTGGCTAAAAATCGTTGTTCGCGCAAGTATTTAATCCTTTCGACTCAAAACCAGTTTTTACGAAGGAGCGACTTTCTCCAAAACAGCGTCAATTAGATTGTCAAAAGGCGAATGAACAAAACCAAAAATCGTCGAATAGCAATTTTCAGGTGAAAGCATTTCTAAAAAATGAAATTATTAGGAAATCAATTTAAAAGTGTCGTAGCTCAAGCTAACGCTGCTGAACATATTTGAAACACAGAAAGAAGAAACGGGATATACTTTTCCAACCAAATCCAATCACGGTATGGATTATTATCAAGTATTTTTAAGAAAATTGCTTCAAAAAAAAGTTTTTGAAAAACTATTTACAAAATTGCACTGGAGGAACGCCAACTAAGCTCTGTTCTCAAGCCTGCCAAAGCCGTGAGATAAAGAAGTCGGAACAACTTTGCCTATATTTCGAGAAAATGGTTTACAAAGATCCAGAGAACAAAGAACATACTATAGACACATTAAATGATGAAAACACAGTTCACGGGCGTTGGGGTAGTGGATAGTAATTGTTCCGACTTTCGATACGAAAGTAACGGAATATTTGAGCTCGGGGTGGGTTTTTTTTCTTCAGACAAATTTCGACTTTTTAACTAGCCATTTTTGACGGAATTTTTTTATATCATTGGAAAGCCATTGTTGTCCTGAACTTAAATTTGAAAAGATATTTCACCTGTGACCATTTTTCATAAAGTTATGAGGGTTTAAAGATTGCCATTTTGGACATTTTGACCAATTTGGGACAATTAACGCGCGATATAATTCGCGCTATTAACGCGTAAGCGCAGATTTAATCCGTCTTATAAATCGTTCCAAATTGGTTGAACGAAGCTTATTTGCCATAATTGATTTGTTACAAGGAACGAAATCTATCTTTTTGTACTTTATATGGCGTGTGGGGGGATGATTTTCATAAAACATTTCAAATTTTGGAGAAAAAAAATTTTCATTTTATTTTATTTCATTTAATTTTTTATGTTATTACTGCTGCTCCATAAACCTTAAAAGGCAGTCGGAACATTCAGGGCTTCGCCCTGATACGAGCAGTCTTGTTGTTCCGACTTTCGATACGAAAGTAACGGAATATTTGTGCTCGGGGTGGGTTTTTTTTTTTTCTTCAGACAAATTTCAACTTTTTAACTAGCCATTTTTGACGGAATTTTTTTTTATCATTCAAAAGGTATTGTTGTCCTGAGCTTAAATTTGAAAAGACATTTCACCTGTGATCATTTTTCGTAAAGTTATGAGGGTTTAAAGGTTGCCATTTTGACCAATTTCGGACAATTTACGCGCGAGATAATTCGAGCTATTAACGCGTAAGCGGAGATTTAATCCGTCTTAGAAATCGTTCCAAATTGGTTGAACGAAGCTTGTTAGCCATAATTGATTTGTTACAAGGAACGAACTCTATCCTTTTGTACTTTATATGTCGTGTGGGGGGATGATTTTCATTAAAAAAATTTCAAATTTCAGAAAAAAAAAGTTCATTTTATTTTATTTCATTTAATTTTTTAAAGTTATTACTGCTCCATAAACCTTAAAAGGCAGTCGGAACATTCTGGGCTTCGCCCTCATACGAGCAGTTTTGTTGTTCCGACTTTCGATACGAAAGTAACGGAATATTTGCGCTCGGGGTGGGTTTTATTTTTTCTTCAGACAAATTTCGACTTTTTAACTAGCCATTTTTGAAGGAATTTTTTTTTATCATTCAAAAGGTATTGTTGTCCTGAGCTTAAATTTGAAAAGATATTTCACCTGTGATCATTTTTCGTAAAGTTATGAGGGTTTAAAGGTTGCCATTTCGACCAATTTGGGACAATTTACGCGCGATATAATTCGAGCTATTAACGCGTAAGCGGAGATTTAATCCGTCTTATAAATCGTTCCAAATTGGTTGAACGAAGCTAATTTGCCATAATTGATTTGTTACAAGGAACGAAATCTATCTTTTTGTACTTTATATGGCGTGTGGGGGGATGATTTTCATAAAAAATTTCAAATTTTGGAGAAAAAAAATTTTCATTTTATTTTATTTCATTTAAGTTTTTATGTTATTACTGCTGCTCCATAAACCTTAAAAGGCAGTCGGAACATTCAGGGCTTCGCCCTGATACGAGCAGTCTTGTTGTTCCGACTTTCGATACAAAAGTAACGGAATATTTGTGCTCGGGGTGGGTTTTTTTTTTCTTCAGACAAATTTCGACTTTTTAACTAGCCATTTTTGACGGAATTTTTTTTATCATTCAAAAGGTATTGTTGTCCTGAGCTTAAATTTGAAAAAATATTTCACCTGTGATCATTTTTCGTAAAGTTATGAGGGTTTAAAGGTTGCCATTTTGACCAATTTGGGACAATTTACGCGCGATATAATTCGAGCTATTAACGCGTAAGCGGAGATTTAATCCGTCTTAGAAATCGTTCCAAATTGGTTGAACGAAGCTTGTTTGCCATAATTGATTTGTTACAAGGAACGAACTCTATCCTTTTGTACTTTATGTCGTGTGGGGGGATGATTTTCATTAAAAAAATTTCAAGTTTTAGAAAAAAAAATTTCATTTTATTTTATTTCATTTAATTTTTTTAAAGTTATTACTGCTCCATAAACCTTAAAAGGCAGTCGGAACATTCTGGGCTTCGCCCTCATACGAGCAGTCTTGTTGTTCCGACTTTCGATACGAAAGTAACGGAATATTTGTGCTCGGGGTGGGTTTTATTTTTTCTTCAGACAAATTTCGACTTTTTAACTAGCCATTTTTGAAGGAATTTTTTTATATCATTCAAAAGGTATTGTTGTCCTGAGCTTAAATTCGGGTATTGCAGCTATGAAGATAAAATAAAGTTAAACTGATTGAGCTAAAAACCACAATTGATATTCCACGTTAAAGTCGGAATAAACTACGTATTTGCTGAATAAGAGAGAAAGAATTTATTCCTCATGATCTAAATCAGTTTAAAATCAACCTCGCGAAATTGTATAATATTTTTTAATTTTAATACTAAAATTTCTAGAAGCCATTCTTTACTATAAAATCAACCATCAATTTTTTAAATCAAATTTTAATATTTGTCAAATTCGTTGACAGTTACATTACAAAAGATCAGCTTTCAATTCAGAAAATAATATTTTAATCCCAATCCATATTTTTGAATAATGAAGGGCTCTTATAAAGATAGTGATTTGCTGAGCTCTTCTACTTACTTTTGGATGTTCCTTCTGCATCTCACCCACTAGTCTGTCCACCCTGGTGGGGTTCGGGGGCAGTCGAGGGGGCTGATTGGGACGTCTGTTGTCACTTCGCATGTCATGCTCGGGGAAGAGGTGCGCCAATGATACCTCAGTCTAGCAAAGAATAGCAACAGTGTTATCATTATTCCAACAGAAAGTCGCAAACAATTCACGTTTTTCGCTGCAGCAAAAATTTCCCGTCAAAGTTTCACTGATTCTTAAAAGTTATGCTTTTAAATTAAACAATATATCTTTGAAAAACGTTACCAATCCTGCTGTTAAACACCAATTGAATTTTAAAAAGATACTATCCATCAAATGAAGAATTGAGTGGAAAAGAAGCGTTTCGACCATCAGAAGCAGTAATCTTCAAACGATGGTATAATTTTTAAAATATACCTATTCAAAGCCAGGGGCCTATTTTTCATCAGGTATGCAACTTTTTAAGGCTTATTCCCAGAACAAGCTCAGCCAAGTAATTAAGCATTTTAAAAGCGTGTCATTTGCTGAGTACAAGGGATACGTTGAAGACCCCTCCAGTCATAAAAATTAAATTTATCTATTCTGGTGGGAGGATAGAAATTTTGGCTAAAAATCGTTGTTCGCGCAAGTATTTAATCCTTTCGACTCAAAACCAGTTTTTACGAAGGAGCGACTTTCTCCAAAACAGCGTCAATTAGATTGTCAAAAGGCGAATGAACAAAACCAAAAATCGTCGAATAGCAATTTTCAGGTGAAAGCATTTCTAAAAAATGAAATTATTAGGAAATCAATTTAAAAGTGTCGTAGCTCAAGCTAACGCTGCTGAACATATTTGAAACACAGAAAGAAGAAACGGGATATACTTTTCCAACCAAATCCAATCACGGTATGGATTATTATCAAGTATTTTTAAGAAAATTGCTTCAAAAAAAAGTTTTTGAAAAACTATTTACAAAATTGCACTGGAGGAACGCCAACTAAGCTCTGTTCTCAAGCCTGCCAAAGCCGTGAGATAAAGAAGTCGGAACAACTTTGCCTATATTTCGAGAAAATGGTTTACAAAGATCCAGAGAACAAAGAACATACTATAGACACATTAAATGATGAAAACACAGTTCACGGGCGTTGGGGTAGTGGATAGTAATTGTTCCGACTTTCGATACGAAAGTAACGGAATATTTGAGCTCGGGGTGGGTTTTTTTTCTTCAGACAAATTTTGACTTTTTAACTAGCCATTTTTGACGGAATTTTTTTATATCATTGGAAAGCCATTGTTGTCCTGAACTTAAATTTGAAAAGATATTTCACCTGTGACCATTTTTCATAAAGTTATGAGGGTTTAAAGATTGCCATTTTGGACATTTTGACCAATTTGGGACAATTAACGCGCGATATAATTCGCGCTATTAACGCGTAAGCGCAGATTTAATCCGTCTTATAAATCGTTCCAAATTGGTTGAACGAAGCTTATTTGCCATAATTGATTTGTTACAAGGAACGAAATCTATCTTTTTGTACTTTATATGGCGTGTGGGGGGATGATTTTCATAAAACATTTCAAATTTTGGAGAAAAAAAATTTTCATTTTATTTTATTTCATTTAATTTTTTATGTTATTACTGCTGCTCCATAAACCTTAAAAGGCAGTCGGAACATTCAGGGCTTCGCCCTGATACGAGCAGTCTTGTTGTTCCGACTTTCGATACGAAAGTAACGGAATATTTGTGCTCGGGGTGGGTTTTTTTTTTTTCTTCAGACAAATTTCAACTTTTTAACTAGCCATTTTTGACGGAATTTTTTTTTATCATTCAAAAGGTATTGTTGTCCTGAGCTTAAATTTGAAAAGACATTTCACCTGTGATCATTTTTCGTAAAGTTATGAGGGTTTAAAGGTTGCCATTTTGACCAATTTCGGACAATTTACGCGCGAGATAATTCGAGCTATTAACGCGTAAGCGGAGATTTAATCCGTCTTAGAAATCGTTCCAAATTGGTTGAACGAAGCTTGTTAGCCATAATTGATTTGTTACAAGGAACGAACTCTATCCTTTTGTACTTTATATGTCGTGTGGGGGGATGATTTTCATTAAAAAAATTTCAAATTTCAGAAAAAAAAAGTTCATTTTATTTTATTTCATTTAATTTTTTAAAGTTATTACTGCTCCATAAACCTTAAAAGGCAGTCGGAACATTCTGGGCTTCGCCCTCATACGAGCAGTTTTGTTGTTCCGACTTTCGATACGAAAGTAACGGAATATTTGCGCTCGGGGTGGGTTTTATTTTTTCTTCAGACAAATTTCGACTTTTTAACTAGCCATTTTTGAAGGAATTTTTTTTTATCATTCAAAAGGTATTGTTGTCCTGAGCTTAAATTTGAAAAGATATTTCACCTGTGATCATTTTTCGTAAAGTTATGAGGGTTTAAAGGTTGCCATTTCGACCAATTTGGGACAATTTACGCGCGATATAATTCGAGCTATTAACGCGTAAGCGGAGATTTAATCCGTCTTATAAATCGTTCCAAATTGGTTGAACGAAGCTAATTTGCCATAATTGATTTGTTACAAGGAACGAAATCTATCTTTTTGTACTTTATATGGCGTGTGGGGGGATGATTTTCATAAAAAATTTCAAATTTTGGAGAAAAAAAATTTTCATTTTATTTTATTTCATTTAAGTTTTTATGTTATTACTGCTGCTCCATAAACCTTAAAAGGCAGTCGGAACATTCAGGGCTTCGCCCTGATACGAGCAGTCTTGTTGTTCCGACTTTCGATACAAAAGTAACGGAATATTTGTGCTCGGGGTGGGTTTTTTTTTTCTTCAGACAAATTTCGACTTTTTAACTAGCCATTTTTGACGGAATTTTTTTTATCATTCAAAAGGTATTGTTGTCCTGAGCTTAAATTTGAAAAAATATTTCACCTGTGATCATTTTTCGTAAAGTTATGAGGGTTTAAAGGTTGCCATTTTGACCAATTTGGGACAATTTACGCGCGATATAATTCGAGCTATTAACGCGTAAGCGGAGATTTAATCCGTCTTAGAAATCGTTCCAAATTGGTTGAACGAAGCTTGTTTGCCATAATTGATTTGTTACAAGGAACGAACTCTATCCTTTTGTACTTTATGTCGTGTGGGGGGATGATTTTCATTAAAAAAATTTCAAGTTTTAGAAAAAAAAATTTCATTTTATTTTATTTCATTTAATTTTTTTAAAGTTATTACTGCTCCATAAACCTTAAAAGGCAGTCGGAACATTCTGGGCTTCGCCCTCATACGAGCAGTCTTGTTGTTCCGACTTTCGATACGAAAGTAACGGAATATTTGTGCTCGGGGTGGGTTTTATTTTTTCTTCAGACAAATTTCGACTTTTTAACTAGCCATTTTTGAAGGAATTTGTTTATATCATTCAAAAGGTATTGTTGTCCTGAGCTTAAATTCGGGTATTGCAGCTATGAAGATAAAATAAAGTTAAACTGATTGAGCTAAAAACCACAATTGATATTCCACGTTAAAGTCGGAATAAACTACGTATTTGCTGAATAAGAGAGAAAGAATTTATTCCTCATGATCTAAATCAGTTTAAAATCAACCTCGCGAAATTGTATAATATTTTTTAATTTTAATACTAAAATTTCTAGAAGCCATTCTTTAATATAAAATCAACCATCAATTTTTTAAATCAAATTTTAATATTTGTCAAATTCGTTGACAGTTACATTACAAAAGATCAGCTTTCAATTCAGAAAATAATATTTTAATCCCAATCCATATTTTTGAATAATGAAGGGCTCTTATAAAGATAGTGATTTGCTGAGCTCTTCTACTTACTTTTGGATGTTCCTTCTGCATCTCACCCACTAGTCTGTCCACCCTGGTGGGGTTCGGGGGCAGTCGAGGGGGCTGATTGGGACGTCTGTTGTCACTTCGCATGTCATGCTTGGGGAAGAGGTGCGCCAATGATACCTCAGTCTAGCAAAGAATAGCAACAGTGTTATCATTATTCCAACAGAAAGTCGCAAACAATTCACGTTTTTCGCTGCAGCAAAAATTTCCCCTCAAAGTTTCACTGATTCTTAAAAGTTATGCTTTTAAATTAAACAATATATCTTTGAAAAACGTTACCAATCCTGCTGTTAAACACCAATTGAATTTTAAAAAGATACTATCCATCAAATGAAGAATTGAGTGGAAAAGAAGCGTTTCGACCATCAGAAGCAGTAATCTTCAAACGATGGTATAATTTTTAAAATATACCTATTCAAAGCCAGGGGCCTATTTTTCATCAGGTATGCAACTTTTTAAGGCTTATTCCCAGAACAAGCTCAGCCAAGTAATTAAGCATTTTAAAAGCGTGTCATTTGCTGAGTACAAGGGATACGTTGAAGACCCCTCCAGTCATAAAAATTAAATTTATCTATTCTGGTGGGAGGATAGAAATTTTGGCTAAAAATCGTTGTTCGCGCAAGTATTTAATCCTTTCGACTCAAAACCAGTTTTTACGAAGGAGCGACTTTCTCCAAAACAGCGTCAATTAGATTGTCAAAAGGCGAATGAACAAAACCAAAAATCGTCGAATAGCAATTTTCAGGTGAAAGCATTTCTAAAAAATGAAATTATTAGGAAATCAATTTAAAAGTGTCGTAGCTCAAGCTAACGCTGCTGAACATATTTGAAACACAGAAAGAAGAAACGGGATATACTTTTCCAACCAAATCCAATCACGGTATGGATTATTATCAAGTATTTTTAAGAAAATTGCTTCAAAAAAAAGTTTTTGAAAAACTATTTACAAAATTGCACTGGAGGAACGCCAACTAAGCTCTGTTCTCAAGCCTGCAAAAGCCGTGAGATAAAGAAGTCGGAACAACTTTGCCTATATTTCGAGAAAATGGTTTACAAAGATCTAGAGAACAAAGAACATACTATAGACACATTAAATGATGAAAACACAGTTCACGGGCGTTGGGGTAGTGGATAGTAATTGTTCCGACTTTCGATACGAAAGTAACGGAATATTTGAGCTCGGGGTGGGTTTTTTTTTCTTCAGACAAATTTCGACTTTTTAACTAGCCATTTTTGACGGAATTTTTTTTATATCATTGGAAAGCCATTGTTGTCCTGAACTTAAATTTGAAAAGATATTTCACCTGTGACCATTTTTCATAAAGTTATGAGGGTTTAAAGATTGCCATTTTGGACACTTTGACCAATTTGGGACAATTAACGCGCGATATAATTCGCGCTATTAACGCGTAAGCGCAGATTTAATCCGTCTTATAAATCGTTCCAAATTGGTTGAACGAAGCTTATTTGCCATAATTGATTTGTTACAAGGAACGAAATCTATCTTTTTGTACTTTATAGGGCGTGTGGGGGGATGATTTTCATAAAACATTTCAAATTTTGGAGAAAAAAAATTTTCATTTTATTTTATTTCATTTAATTTTTTATGTTATTACTGCTGCTCCATAAACCTTAAAAGGCAGTCGGAACATTCAGGGCTTCGCCCTGATACGAGCAGTCTTGTTGTTCCGACTTTCGATACGAAAGTAACGGAATATTTGTGCTCGGGGTGGGTTTTTTTTTTTCTTCAGACAAATTTCAACTTTTTAACTAGCCATTTTTGACGGAATTTTTTTTTATCATTCAAAAGGTATTGTTGTCCTGAGCTTAAATTTGAAAAGACATTTCACCTGTGATCATTTTTCGTAAATTTATGAGGGTTTAAAGGTTGCCATTTTGACCAATTTCGGACAATTTACGCGCGAGATAATTCGAGCTATTAACGCGTAAGCGGAGATTTAATCCGTCTTAGAAATCGTTCCAAATTGGTTGAACGAAGCTTGTTAGCCATAATTGATTTGTTACAAGGAACGAACTCTATCCTTTTGTACTTTATATGTCGTGTGGGGGGATGATTTTCATTAAAAAAATTTCAAATTTCAGAAAAAAAAATTTCATTTTATTTTATTTCATTTAATTTTTTAAAGTTATTACTGCTCCATAAACCTTAAAAGGCAGTCGGAACATTCTGGGCTTCGCCCTCATACGAGCAGTCTTGTTGTTCCGACTTTCGATACGAAAGTAACGGAATATTTGTGCTCGGGGTGGGTTTTATTTTTTCTTCAGACAAATTTCGACTTTTTAACTAGCCATTTTTGAAGGAATTTTTTTTTATCATTCAAAAGGTATTGTTGTCCTGAGCTTAAATTTGAAAAGATATTTCACCTGTGATCATTTTTCGTAAAGTTATGAGGGTTTAAAGGTTGCCATTTCGACCAATTTGGGACAATTTACGCGCGATATAATTCGAGCTATTAACGCGTAAGCGGAGATTTAATCCGTCTTATAAATCGTTCCAAATTGGTTGAACGAAGCTTATTTGCCATAATTGATTTGTTACAAGGAACGAAATCTATCTTTTTGTACTTTATATGGCGTGTGGGGGGATGATTTTCATAAAAAATTTCAAATTTTGGAGAAAAAAAATTTTCATTTTATTTTATTTCATTTAAGTTTTTATGTTATTACTGCTGCTCGATAAACCTTAAAAGGCAGTCGGAACATTCAGGGCTTCGCCCTGATACGAGCAGTCTTGTTGTTCCGACTTTCGATACAAAAGTAACGGAATATTTGTGCTCGGGGTGGGTTTTTTTTTTCTTCAGACAAATTTCGACTTTTTAACTAGCCATTTTTGAAGGAATTTTTTATATCATTCAAAAAGGTATTGTTGTCCTGAGCTTAAATTTGAAAAGATATTTCACCTGTGATCATTTTTCGTAAAGTTATGAGGGTTTAAAGGTTGCCATTTTGACCAATTTGGGACAATTTACGCGCGATATAATTCGAGCTATTAACGCGTAAGCGGAGATTTAATCCGTCTTAGAAATCGTTCCAAATTGGTTGAACGAAGCTTGTTTGCCATAATTGATTTGTTACAAGGAACGAACTCTATCCTTTTGTACTTTATATGTCGTGTGGGGGGATGATTTTCATAAAACATTTCAAATTTTGGAGAAAAAAAATTTTCATTTTATTTTATTTCATTTAATTTTTTATGTTATTACTGCTGCTCCATAAACCTTAAAAGGCAGTCGGAACATTCTGGGCTTCGCCCTCATACGAGCAGTCTTGTTGTTCCGACTTTCGATACGAAAGTAACGGAATATTTGTGCTCGGGGTGGGTTTTATTTTTTCTTCAGACAAATTTCGACTTTTTAACTAGCCATTTTTGAAGGATTTTTTTTATATCATTCAAAAAGGTATTGTTGTCCTGAGCTTAAATTTGAAAAGATATTTCACCTGTGATCATTTTTCGTAAAGTTATGAGGGTTTAAAGGTTGCCATTTCGACCAATTTGGGACAATTTACGCGCGATATAATTCGAGCTATTAACGCGTAAGCGGAGATTTAATCCGTCTTATAAATCGTTCCAAATTGGTTGAACGAAGCTTATTTGCCATAATTGATTTGTTACAAGGAACGAAATCTATTCTTTTGTACTTTATATGGCGTGTGGGGGGATGATTTTCATAAAAAATTTCAAATTTTGGAGAAAAAAAATTTTCATTTTATTTTATTTCATTTAGGTTTTTATGTTATTACTGCTGATCCATAAACCTTAAAAGGCAGTCGGAACATTCAGGGCTTCGCCTTGATACGAGCAGTCTTGTTGTTCCGACTTTCGATACAAAAGTAACGGAATATTTGTGCTCGGGGTGGGTTTTTTTTTTCTTCAGACAAATTTCGACTTTTTAACTAGCCATTTTTGACGGAATTTTTTTTTATCATTCAAAAAGTATTGTTGTCCTGAGCTTAAATTTGAAAAGATATTTCACCTGTGATCATTTTTCGTAAAGTTATGAGGGTTTAAAGGTTGCCATTTTGACCAATTTGGGACAATTTACGCGCGATATAATTCGAGCTATTAACGCGTAAGCGGAGATTTAATCCGTCTTAGAAATCGGTCCAAATTGGTTGAACGAAGCTTGTTTGCCATAATTGATTTGTTACAAGGAACGAACTCTATCCTTTTGTACTTTATATGTCGTGTGGGGGGATGATTTTCATTAAAAAAATTTCAAATTTTAGAAAAAAAAATTTCATTTTATTTTATTTCATTTAATTTTTTAAAGTTATTACTGCTCCATAAACCTTAAAAGGCAGTCGGAACATTCTGGGCTTCGCCCTCATACGAGCAGTCTTGTTGTTCCGACTTTCGATACGAAAGTAACGGAAAATTTGTGCTCGGGGTGGGTTTTATTTTTTCTTCAGACAAATTTCGACTTTTTAACTAGCCATTTTTGAAGGAATTTTTTTATATCATTCAAAAGGTATTGTTGTCCTGAGCTTAAATTTGAAAAGATATTTCACCTGTGATCATTTTTCGTAAAGTTATGAGGGTTTAAAGGTTGCCATTTCGACCAATTTGGGACAATTTACGCGCGATATAATTCGAGCTATTAACACGTAAGCGGAGATTTAATCCGTCTTATAAATCGTTCCAAATTGGTTGAACGAAGCTTATTTGCCATAATTGATTTGTTACAAGGAACGAAATCTATCTTTTTGTACTTTATATGGCGTGTGGGGGGATGATTTTCAAAAAAAAATTCAAATTTTGGAGAAAAAAAATTTTCATTTTATTTTATTTCATTTAAGTTTTTATGTTATTACTGCTGCTCCATAAACCTTAAAAGGCAGTCGGAACATTCAGGGCTTCGCCCTCATACGAGCAGTCTTGTTGTTCCGACTTTCGATACGAAAGTAACGGAATATTTGTGCTCGGGGTGGGTTTTTTTTTTCTTCAGACAAATTTCGACTTTTTAACTAGCCATTTTTGACGGAATTTTTTATATCATTCAAAAGGTATTGTTGTCCTGAGCTTAAATTTGAAAAGATATTTCACCTGTGATCATTTTTCGTAAAGTTATGAGGGTTTAAAGGTTGCCATTTTGACCAATTTGGGACAATTTACGCGCGATATAATTCGAGCTATTAACGCGTAAGCGGAGATTTAATCCGTCTTAGAAATCGTTCCAAATTGGTTGAACGAAGCTTATTTGCCATAATTGATTTGTTACAAGGAACGAACTCTATCCTTTTGTACTTTATATGTCGTGTGGGGGGATGATTTTCATTAAAAAAATTTCAAATTTTAGAAAAAAAAATTTCATTTTATTTTATTTCATTTAATTTTTTAAAGTTATTACTGCTCCATAAACCTTAAAAGGCAGTCGGAACATTCAGGGCTTCGCCCTGATACGAGCAGTCTTGTTATGTTTTCTTTCTGAATGCTACAATCTCTTTGATGCTATCATTGCCAACTAGCGAAATGAATGATATTTACAGCAATCATCATAAAATTGCTCCAAAATTTGGATCCCTTAGGTTTAAACAATATAATTTACTACAATCCAATTATTAAGAAAAATTGCTGACAGTATTGCAATATGAAACCTTTAATTTGCTCAGATCGTTGCCTTTCAAACATAGCCCGATTAAAATAGTCCATCCAGAAAACTAATTCTTGAATCTGATATGATCATAAAATTAATATCCAAAACAGTAAACAAAATCGTCAAAAAACATTCAGAATCATGCAGAGATCACTGCTTGCCTGAGGTTTTTCCTCACTTTCATTCTGCATTGCACTTCGAGAGATAATTGTGGATCGCATGTTGTAATTTGAAAAAAAATTATGTGAGCAGAAACAGCATGACTCAACGTATCAATGAGCTCAAGGAAAATAGAGATGACTGACTTGTTTAACTTTGGAAATTTCCTATACCCAGGTTACTCACTAAAAATCACATTTATCTCACAAACTGATCTCGCATTCAGTTTGGAAGAGAGACTTGACCTTAATGCTCCCAAAGAAAGTCCGAAGTGCTTTAACACCCACACGAAACCAATCGCTTCACTTTTAAATGCCCGAAAGTCTACCCCATTGAATACTTTAGCACTCTGATGCATTCCAGTCGAGGCTTATTCATTCCTGAGATTGGATCAATAATCAAGCAAATCATTTGAGCTCACTCCTAAGGGCCAGTTTCGACTCAACACTGACTCAAAGCCTCGACTTTGAATCGACAACCTCTCATTATGGTGTCCACTAATACGGAAGAAACGATATTAAGACACCATAGCAGTGATATTAAAAACATATCCCTGTTTGAATACTTGGGTTTTCACAAAAAACCGGCGACACTTCCAGAACTTTTGGACATGTCAGTTATTAGACAATGGTCCCCCTCTATCCAGAGGCAATCTTGGGGGAGGGGGGCAGTGTTAGATATTGAAGCAACGACGCAACAAACAACTTTCACCAAGAAAAAAACTCAAACTAAGGCAGCAAGCTTCAAGGCACTTAATTACTCTTTTAACATGTCAACATGTCTTCACAGCATTAATCGACTATAAACAAAGCGCCCACAACAAAACAAACTACGAATTACAAAGAAAAAATACACGATCTTAAGCTGTTTAGTTTTTAAAAAAATCATGGTTGACACTTTTTTTGATAATAATGCAACTTAAAAAAATTGGGGAAATTTTTTATCCCGCTGGGAAATCTATAAATTAATATCCACTTTCGAAAATAGAAATGTATCATGTGTTTTTCGCGCTATTTTGCGTTTGAAAATGGAGAATGTAACTAGTCGGCGTGTTAGCAAATGAATTTGAATTAAACTGAAAAAGAAATCAAAAGCCAAACCGCAAAGGTTTAAATTTGGAGTAAAATTTTTTTTATTCTGGAAAAAAAACTAGGCTGAAAAATCATTGAATTTTGAGCAATTTGGGTATTGAGTAAGTTGGGAAGAAGACAATTGGGAAGTTAGCAACTCGACCTATATTAGTACCGTCATTACGTTCATTATCATTTAGCGAGAAAAACCTTGAAACAATTTTTATTGCGAAAACGATCACGGACTATACTGTACAACTTTCACATCAACCAGCTGATTTTGTAACAAGTGAAATTTGATCGCTGATGTATCAGGAAGAGAAAATAAATTTCGCAAAATTGAAGAAAAAATTTGAAAACAATAATTTCAATGACTTGCTAACACGAAATAACCGGGGCTTGATACAGATGCCAACTTGCTGTGTCACAAGCCAGAATTGTTTTAGATGATATTAGCCTTCACTTCACTTTAAACACAGAGGCGCAGCTGAGCTTCTCATCAATTGCGATACATATACGGATGACTATAAGAATCAAACGAAAAAATTCAAAAAATCGTTTTTGTCAATAAAAACTGCAACAGAAGTCAAAATATCCTAAAAATTTGCCTGCACCATTAGAAACTCTACATGGAGCTTTGGGAAAACTATAGAGAGTCCAAGTTTTTTATAAAAAAAAGTCCTTTCTGCGGAACTAAGCAGACAAAAATAAGCAGACAGACAAATCTAAATTAGCCAAAAAATCTCAATTTGCAAAAAAAACAGGTCTCAACTGAAATCGAACTGCCGGGCTTTATTGTCTCAAGCATATGGATTACAGCAACTTGGAATAAAGTTAAACCATTGAGCGCCGGGAACTAAGCCGACAAATATAAACAGACAGACGATAGTCCGAAAAAGCACATAAACTAGTTGGCAAAAAAAGGCCCAGCCGGATTCGAACCGCAAATCTTCGCCGTCTCAAGCAGTTTTTTTTATACAACGCGCCACATGTTTGATTGGATTTCAATTTATAATGACCAAGCGGTAATAAAGCCAAAAAAACCTAATCAGAAACCCTTCATGTCGAAAAGACATATAAAAAAATTCTAAACTTATTTTAAAATTTCCTCTCAGAGGACACACACGCGCACAAAAACTTTTTTCGGACGTAACGACGAAATAAAAGGCCACTAAGTCGATGTTAATTAGGCAGACATTTATTAAGCCAATAAAAAAGACGAAAAAAAGAAATTTCAACAAACCGAGCTGGTAAAATTACAACCAATGTGAAAAGCAAATTACAATTCGGGCCGGATTTTTAAAATGCTGAAGTTGACTGCAATGAAAATTGTTTACAGCTAAAATAAATGATTGTTAGATAAGGCAACTAAGCCGACAAAACATAACAGACAAATAGTAAGCCGTTTTTTAAACCAGAACATTTACCGTTTGAAAAAAAACTGGTCCTGGTCAGATTCGAACCTAAGTCAGTACCTTAGCCATCCTAGGCGTATGCTATACCACCAGCCTAAGTTGCCAAGAGACACTACAAAATTTGAATATGAACCAAGGAAGGTACCACCAGGAGTCCAATGCGTCTGTGGACAGAAGTGCTTACGGGAAAAAAAGTCTAGTACCCGATTGCAATACCATTGGTATCCAGAGGGTAAAAAATTACTGGAAGCAATGAATCAGCTTTAAATGAACAAATACATATCGTTCAAGGAAATTTGCAACTTGTAGTGGAAAAAATATGTCGCGTAACTATGATTCAGCTTATGCACAAAAGGCTTCAAGCCATATTAGGAAATTTCACTCAGAGTGACTTCAAGATAACGAGGTCAAGGGAGATAAAACTTCTTGTTTTAGTATGAAGACGTCGAATAAATTCGAAGCTGAATGTGGGAAAACAGTTAGACCTTTTTCCGCTCATTTTCGATAGCTTTGAATTGTTCAACAGCAAGTCCCACATTTGCCAGCAGCAAGTCTGTCGCCCGGCTCTTCGATCCCGGCTGGTAACCTTGATGTCTCCCATGTCCATGATGTGAGTTATTACCATGCATGCCTCCACTAGCCCCACCCGCTGAGTCATAACTCTGTTTGAAACGGTTGCCATTATTGCTCCTGTTCTGCATTTGACCCCCGTGATTTCCACGATTGACTGACATCTTCGTCCCTCCGTTTGACAAATTCATCCAGTTATTGGGTTGACTCTGGACTTTGAAATTAACAGCCGAACCAAAATTGGGACCTCCTTGCTCCAAGATATCCTTTTGACTTGGAGCCATGAAAGCGGGATTTTGCATGTTACTTGGTGCCATACTATTCTTCATACTTTGATTTCCGGACCCCATAACATCCTTAACCATTTCCGAGCCAGTATTCATGGATGCCAACAACGTCATGTATGCATTCAGATCAAATTGGTTCTGGTTGAAATGGTTAGAATTGCTTGAATTTGGAAGATTGTATTGAGTCGTTGCTGGAGTAGGTGTGACCGAAAAAGGTCGCGGACAATCAAACTTAAGCTCGTCTTTATCATCGACTAAATTAATGTTTCCGTTGGGCAAAGTTTGCTTGTGATTGTCTTGGAAAATCGATTGTTGTTGACTAAGCAGCTCGTTGAAAAGAGTATAATTGAAATTGATATTGCGCACAAGGTTATTGGCTCCATTGTTTACGTTGGCTTTTCCCGAGACGTTCAGAGGGCTCTGCGATGATGCATTTTGAAAGAGTTCAAGTGGCGTACTGGCGCTTGTCGCGGGATCTGAGGCCATGTTGAGTAGACTTTGTTGATTTTGCAGCATGAGTAAAGCTAAAATCATAGCGATGAGTTACTAAATTGAGGAAGCAAAACTCACGCCAAAGCTCCTACAAATTCGTGACTTTATTTTACCACGAAAAAACTTTGCCTATTTCTCCACAATGACAATACCCCTCAGTATCAGTATATACTAACTAAAATTAAAGCACATTTTTGAAGGATTTTTGTTTTATAAGATTTTTTTACAAGCCGCCGCAGCCCAGCTCCCACCGTTCTACCCTGGACATTTCTTCCGAGGGGAGAGAGATGTCATCTATTTGGCCGCAGCCGGTACCACCTTGAGGAGGCGGATCACACTTCCACTTCAACTGTGACCGAAACGGGATTCGAGTATAATTTCGGCACCTTTTTTCATTTGACCCAAATTACCCTCAGCCCATTTTTTAAAATCAAATTGGATTGTAACAGAAGGAGGTCAAGAGATCAAAAACTTAGCCATCAAAAGTTATCGTAGTCAAACGTCAGACCTTAACTTTTTAAAACCACAGAACGACGAAACAAGAATTATAGCGCAGAAATTTTGCCGATTGACTTTTCTAAAGACAGATAGGTCTTTAATTTACCTTGGAAATAAGGTAGGTGCGTGTAGAGCAAGGAGGCCAAATTAGGGTTCATATCGCTGCTAGTATTCGAGTTTGGTTTGACTGGATCAGACTCCATCCTACTCGGCATCTTTGGAACACAAAACGGAAAATCCATCAAGCCAGACGGTTGTTTATTCTTGTCGAAACTTTTTGCATTGTTGACCTGAGATGACATAGTAGATCCGTTGCCAAGGGAAACTACGTTCTGAGTCAGGCTATTTTTCAAAGCAAGAGCGTTCAGCATGCTTTGCAGTTCATCTAAATTAGGAATTAAAATAATGATAATGAATTTTTTGATAGTGAAAAACATAGCCAACAGACAGTTGGAAAAGAGCCAATGAATGCAAGTAAGCCGAAAAAAAATATTATTTACGAACTTTCGAAAAAGAATAGATGTCCTTAAAGCTCTTTTTAATTCCAGAAAAGTGTATGATTGACACTTATTTGATCAATAAACCCAATTTAAAAAAACTGGAGTAATAGGTAATTTTTTTTAGTTCACTGAGAAATCTGAAAAATAAACTCCTTTTCGAAACTAGAAGTCGATCACATTTTTATGAACTTTACATTTTTGCTATTTGACAGGAGTTTGCCTTTCTTTTAAAAAAGAAATCAATTAAACTTGAAAAGAACTAACCGCAAAGAACTAACCGCAAAAAACTATACTTGAGCCTCGTGAACAAATTTTAAGACCTTTCAAGAAAAAACTACGTTCACCGACTCTTAACGAGAATGATGTTTGCGTTTGAAATAATGAGAAGTGTTTCGATATTCTTGTATCCAGACAATTCGGCCAAAGACAATTCAGCCGAATTGAAATTCAGACAATTCAGCCAAAATTATGCAGAAAATTGAGCCATAGACAATTCAGCCAAAAATATAGTGACCGACGCAGTCGCGCCAACGTGTTGCGAGCTTGCCAACAGAGGGTAGAACTCTATACGAAATTTAGAGCCGATTATCGCCGCAAAGCGGCGACGCGCGCGTAGCGCGCCTACCGGCGACCTTAAACCGAGAAAGAGCTCCAATTCCGATATTTTTCTTTCGAATTTAGCATTTTGTAAAACTGGCTGAATTGTCTCAGGCTGAATTGTCTCAGGTTGAATTGTCTGTATATTTTTGGCTGAATTGTCTGAATTTCAAATTGGCTGAATTGTCTTTGGCCGAATTGTCTGTGCGCCATTCTTGTTCTTTATTTATTGACTACTGACCTTGCGATTGTATATCAGACACAACTGGAGGCAAAGATCCGTTGATATTGCACTGGGGAAGTGGGGAATAGGGAATGAGATCCAGAGCACCTGGACACAGTTGGTGCGCAACTTCGAACAGCTCCCTCTCTTTGAAACTCATGTCTAAACAAAATTGAAATGAAAAAGAAAAACAAAACAGAGGCGCCTCTGAGGCACCAATACCCAATCTGTATGGTTTTCACGTAGTCGAAAATTCTTCAAAAAAAATGATATTTAGGTATCTATATTAGCTTAAATTTTATTTCAACAACCTAAGTTTTAAACACCAGGCATGCATCAGCAAAACTTTTGTTGTCAAACAGTATAGTAATTAACTTTACTAGCAAATAAAACTTTTTTAAATACGCACAATCTCAAATGGAATCGAATTTTAAATGCCAAAACATTTAGTCCAGAGAGAGTAGTATGGTTCAGAAGTTTTAGCAGTCATTACTTTTCAATTTCGATTCCGCAATTCGACTCTATCTCAAGTTCGGATAAATATATGTGAAATTATTCAGGAGAATGCATTAAAAACAATTAAGGAAAACGACCTTGACCTTTGGTAGCCAGAACTATTCAAACTTTCTCACATATGAAACTCTCAAATCAAATTTTTTCGAAATTCGATTTTACTAAGGATACCTGTAAACCAGAACTCGTGACCTAATCTTATACGAGGAAAACATTTAATCCGTTCGCCAGGTCCAATAGGCATAGCAAAGAACGCAAGCAAAAAAAAGGAAATCAGAATTACATTTTTTGCAGAATGAAAATATCTATATACTCGTTCCTATATATGCGTTCATGTACGTCGATAGTCCTAACATCCGTTCAATTAGGCCCATTGATGAATTAAAACAAGAGGAAATCATCAACACATCTAAGCGAACGGCCGGAAACCAATAAGTATGCATTAACAAAACCCATGAAAAGACCTCAGCATTACCCACAACAAAAAATTAGGCCCCTTGATAAATTAAAATAAAACAAGAGGCCAAATTTTTATATAAACTCACTAAATAGTTTCAGATCAGTGCTGCGAAAAAGTTCACTATATAGGGGCTAGCCCTCTTAATCAACTGAATCATCACAGGAGCGACCAAATTGTAACAAGTTTCCTCGAATATCAACTATCTTAAACTCTCCAGCAAACCAACTCAGATACGCCTCTGAGGATAAAGCAAAATGTGTTCAAGAGGTGCGTTTCAACAACGAAAAAAGCCTAGGCATCATGCCAAAGGATAATATTGCAATTTCACATCAAATAAAAACAGTAGCGACAATAAAACAGAAAACGAAAAAAAAATGAAAAAACAAAAGCTGAGAGAGGAGATCAGAAATGACCAAGAGAGAAAGTGATCCAGAGCCGGCGAACGTTTGAACACCAATGGTAGTTGTTCTTTGAATTAACCTCAAATACACGAGAAAACAATCAACGGCGAAAAAATCAACCCTAAAAAATTTAGGAAAACCATTCAACGGCGAAAAAGTTCGATCTTCAGCCGCTTTTTTTCAGAGCACTCCAGTACAGTTGACAAAATTTTTGGATACCGAACTTTGTACAGGTCTTGAAAAAATGACTACAAAAACAAATCATTCAAAAAAATTCCACTTTTTAGCAGACATTTTTTGAGTGTTTGAAGTTTTTGATTCCCAAAATGGCACTAGAAATCTCCAAAAACTAATTTCAATTCAGTTAAAATAAACTTAAGCATAATGTTCGAATCACGACTGATATACCACTCAACTCTCCGACAATTATTTGTGGTAGCTGGAAACAAACTGCACCCAGCTAGTTTGGGGACTAGGACCGGTCAGCCGTCCTACAGCTCGTGTATCCTGGACAAAATACGCGAAAAATTGGACTTAACATACCATGGCCAAATTTTTGATAAATCTAGATACGAATAAAAAAATTATTGAAAGAAATGATATCGCACCAATCTATGCTGATTGCTCAGCCATCTAGCATTCTTTTTTGCCGTTCTCTACTCAACGTAATTCAAAGGCAACCAACTGACTTTTTTTTCGACTTACGTCTTATGTAACTTTCGAATTCGTCAAACGAATTGCACTTTGTTTCCCTCAGAACTCGGGGAGGTATTTGGAAACACAATGCTTTCTGAGTTGCATTTTCATTCATGAAAGGCTCAACTGCTTTGTTTCTAGCTTGATTTAAATTCATCTGCTGTCGTTTTAAATAGTTTTCAAACTCTTTTTTGGACGAATACTGCGAAGGAATAAACGATTCGGAAGTGTTCTGATTTGTGAAACCCTGAACAGTTTCCGGTAAGCCCAAAACTGCATTATGGTCCGTCATCTTTGAATTAGCACGTGACATGTGGTCCGTCCAGATTTGATTCAAGTTAAAATAATCATTTGGGACACCTTGAGCAATCAATTCGCTATGACACCCGTTTGACTCCAGCTCCGGATCACATACTGGCTGCACATTTTCCTGGCAATTAAGCATATGTAATTCTGGATTAAAATCGTTAAGGAAAGCCTTGTTAGAATCAAATCCAAAAAAAAATTAATCATTTTCTTCTGGTAACAGTCGATTGTATTAGGTAATTATAAAAAAACTTATGAGAAAATACCAACCATTTTCTGCTCTAATTGAAGCCGTTGTCCAGATCGCGAACCATCAACTTGTTTCACTCTTTCTTCTTTATCTTCGAGTTTCTCGGCCTCATGATTCGCAATAAACGGTGACCAAAACTGAAATGGGTCGGTGAGAAGCTTATTAACAGCCAACTCACTGCCCTCAGATGAATTTCGATAGGATATATCATTGTTTTTGGACTCCGCCCAAGCTGCCTCAAAGGCCGAGTTGTCGTTCAGTGTTGGGACTTGTGATTCTTTTCCAATTGATTGGTTTTCGTTTTTGTTCCTAATCTGAGCAAAATTTTCAAAAAATGGGATAGATACTTCGGAATTAAATCCAGGCATATTAGCATAAATTGTTGCTCAAGACGTTCTAAAAAAATTGAATCAAATGACGCCACAGAAAACTGATTCCTTACCCATTTCAAATTTTTTTTAAAATATATTTAACATCTTTAAGAGAAAATAGCCAACAGACAACGAACTTAACAAAGATACCTTGCAGAAAATCTACTGGCACTTTTGTATTAGACACTATTCCGAGGAAAACAAATGCACATGGAGAATAGGTAATAGCAGATGTGCAACCTGTAACATCACAAACAAGATAAAACTAAACCAATGAACTTGAATCTGGGTGCGAACCCTTGAGAACTGTCTCTAAATTTTTTACTACTACTACTACTACTACTGTTAAAAATTACCAAATGAACAGAAGTAAACATTATAACAGAACAATTTGTGTGAAAGACACTTGAATTTCAAAAAAACATCAGTTCAGTTCAGTTGTTTTTTTTTTATCTTTTAGGCGTTTTGTCGCCTTTATCGATCAGCTCATGATGTACTCCTTTTCGATTAATTCGACTCAAATTTATTATGTTCAAGTTCAATGAGTACTGATCATATAGGCGATTTTGCGCCTCTTTCGATCAGCTGTAAAGCTCTCAAAACAAAAATGTTATAAAAATTATGACAGACACTTTTCTATAAAGAGAAAAACTTTTTGGCTCAATCTGAGAAAAACTAGATCATAGGTAACTTTAACTTTCTGCTGGAAATCCATAAATTGAAATCAAACTTTGAACAAAATATTTCACTTTTATTGCAGGATTTCAGCTTTGCACAATGTAAATTACGAACGTTTTCGCACATTTGTACATCATCAGGCTTTAAAACAATTGAAATTTACAAAAATGATCATCGATCATAAAAATATCATAAGATATTGGACTATAAAAAAATTATAAGACATTTGTTCTACCAATGCCTATTTTCAGGTTATGAAGGACTTCTTAACACTATCTAGCGTCTTGGCAGGAAAACACGATTGCAATAAAAATGAATTCGTCCATTTTTCACGATTCTAGCCGTACTAGTCCTTTTGTATTACCCGCTTTCAGATTGTGACATTCGACCAGAATGACGGTTAAAACGCGCGACGACAACAAAATATTATTGATAGCAGCCGAGTGGGAAAATTGGCAGTGTGACGATTTAACCGCGTTTATCGTTCAAATTAACAAATTGGGAGAGGTCAATTTGGAGTGACAAAACAATTTTTTAAATTTCGATTTGCGTGTGCATGACACGTAACAATTTAAATTTTCGTCAACACTGAAAACCGCTAAAACTAGCAAGATGTACGAGAAATTAAAGCGAACGACCGAATTATAATTGACGAAACTTACGGAAGAACATTCCGAACTGTAACGACTGAAACGGTACAATCGATACCGAGCAATTATTGAGAATTCGGAGGGGTAACGGAAGGATTTTACTACCCTTCCAAATGGTCGACAAGACCGCTCTTCGTGCGATTCCGAAAAAACGGAAGGGTATCAGAAAGAAACTGAAACTGTATCTTTAACAGCTTTTAGCTTCCGGATATACTCTAAACTCAATCAAATAACATTAATGCTCGTTTTCAGATAATGAGAAGCTAAGATTTGAGGGAAAGGGATGATCCATCTCCGATAGATATGATGATTTTTATCTTCTGAACAAAAACAATTGTATTATGATAATAAGTAGAAGCCCTGTTTTTGGGAGTGACCTCGTGGTCTGGGGATACTAAGACCCAGCCATGAGCTCACTATTTTTTGCATATAAGTGAGTTAATTAGAGCGTTTTGATCGAAGCCGGAAACAGGCATGTAACTAAGTTAATTTAACCGATCTGACGGATAGCCCAAAAGAGTAATGACTTTGTCGACACGATGTTAAGGAACCATATATAGAAATGGCATTGGAAGAGAAGGTTAAAAGCATGTGAAGATGTGTTAGGACGCTAGCCAGTCGTTTCACAAACTAGCTTTTCTTTCCGTCGGTATGTACTTCCGGGCTGATGATACAGATACCAGATTTGCGGAACAACTACTGGTTCCGCACTTAACATATGTGAACTTGGACCAGAATGTACGGAAATGCAAAGTCAGAACTCGAATTTTTATTGTGACATTGGAGTGGGACGATTAACGATTTTAACGGATTAGCGGTGTTAACCGTGCATTTTAACGAACGAGGAAGGGTTAGTTTGAGCTTACATGTAAATTTTTAAAATTTCGATTCAGACGTGAAACACACGTAACTTTTTTTATCTTTCACGCACACTGGCAACGGCGAACACAGAAAAACAGTTTTCTCAACGAGAACAAAATTAAAAATAGCCAGAGAAGAGTCAGACGAGAAATACGAACGGTAAGAGAACTATTGTGACCGACAACCATTCCGAGTTGTAGCGATTGGGCCGCTACAATCGTTTCAACCCGAATCCCGAGACTTAGGAAGAGTGTTGGTGCATCGTGTCCAGCCTTCCTGAAAGAAATAGGAGCGTTTTTTTTCCCGGATTCCAGAATCCGGAGCGGTCTCGGGATGAGAACGCAAACTGTATTTTATAAACTTTTAGCTTCCTGAAGATGTCCTGAGTGGAATTCATTTAACATCTAAATTCACTTTCAGATTACGAGAAGCTAGTAGTTAAGGGAAAAAGTTGATCCATCTTGGATGGAGATGATGACTTTTATCTACTGAACAAAAACAATATTAATATAATAAATAAGTAGTAGCCTCGTTTTTAGGAGTGACCTCGTGGTCTGGGGATACTGAGACCCAGCCATCAGCTCACAATTTTTGCATATAATTGAGTTAATTAGAGCGTTTTGATCGAAGCCGGAGACAGTAACGTGTTTTGTTGACCCGATGTTGGAAAGACCACCAAAAGAACTGGTTTTGGCAGAGACGGTGAAAAGCATGTAGTTTCGACGTTGGTCAGTCGATTTAGAACCTAGCTTTATTTTCCGTCGATATGTACTTGCGGGCGAATGCTACATAGATGTTTTTATGGCGCTCCTGGGTGTTATTCTTTTTTAACATGATGACCGGTAGAACCGTTAACGAGCACTCCGCGCCGGCGCTGAGCGGATGCCTCAAAATAAGACCCTTACCACCGGGGTGGAAGGGTGTTCGGAACGCGGAAGTCTTCCGGATTCCCGAAAACACCTTTTTAACCTAGTTAAGAACGAAATCCACGTACCAGGAAGGGTGGGAAGATTGGCTGTCCCGTCGTTCCCTGAAAGGTTTGTGACCAAAAAAAATTTAAAGATATATAGGAAACAAAAAGTAGTATAGTACCTAAGAAAAACATAAAAATAACCGAAAAAAAAAAGCAAAAAAAAATAAAGTCAGTAGAAATCATCCCCCCAGACGAGATGTGATCCGACCCTACCGTTTATTGTTGTTAGATATATTGTTATTACAGGCACTTATATCAGTCAGGATCGTTACGATCAAACTTGTGGCCTGTTTCTGGTGCTTGTACTGAAGGGCTATTTGAGTTTTTAAGCACGTTAATGCTAATTTGCGCTCAATCCAGAAGGTCTCGCGATTAGAGAAGAAGACTGATCCGGCAAGCAGTGCAAGGAGCGACAAGAAGGGGCCCAAGGAGAACAACAATCGACTGTTTGGTATCCTTAACAAATTTTGTATCCCTTTTGGTGCAAAAAGTAAGATATTAATCTGTGGGGGGCTCAACAGTGACTGCACTGAAGTGACCCTACACCGAGTTGCGAATTTCCGATTTAAGCACCTGAAATCGGGTATTGAACAAGCCCAGAGGGGTATAATATGACTAGTATTACTATTTATACAGGCTATAATAAAATTCCCATACCGTTTTTCATTGAAAAACAAAGTAAGCAGACCGGTTTTCAGGGTCAAAATAGCGATACTTTGATCCCCCACAAATCCCGATTTTTGAGATATCGATAATTTTTGAAACAAAAAAAGGCGCCGAATTAGTTAGTTACATTGTAACTGTTTTTTTATAATTAGTAGAACCGGTTAACTTTAGTTCGGAAGTGGTTGGAACTAATTGGGTACCGTAAACTCGAATTTTCTTGATTTTTGAAAAAAAAACTAAACGCTACAAAAAAGAATATTTTTGAGTTAGGACAGTAAAAGTTGTTGTTAGGACAACGTAAACTTGTGAATCGACAGGTTTTAAAGCCCGTTTGCCAATAAATTTCCGGTTTATAGTGAAATCGAACTTAACGCGTTTGATTTAGTGAATTCATCAATCCAGAAGGGTCTAAATAGCATTGTCTTCGGCAAGTTGTTTCATCTGGAATGTTTAAGATCGAGTTTTTTTTGCAATTAACTAGAAAAGTATTGGCCTTTTGAGCTCGGATCAATTATTTTTAGGTCGAAAAGATAAGAATTGCTAAAAAAAGTTAGGCGGAACTTATAAGTGAGAAAATTTTTGAACCTAAACAAAAGACGTTTTGGCTAATAACTTTGGAACTACTGGACAGATCCAGTTGATCTTGTTACCATTAGATTAGAAATATGGTGAGCTTACTCATAAAGTCTTCAATTATCCAAAGAAAATGAGGCGTAAAAATTTTTAAGGTTGTTTTTAACAAAAATACCAATTTGTAAAGGTAGACACTCCACCTTTAGGAATTTTTTTTTGGAAAGCCCTTATACCCTACCAAAGCGTAGTAACGGTTGAATGAGGCAATTTTAAGCTGTTCTATACAAAAAGGGAGGGCCAATGAACCAAAAAATTATAGTCGATTCGAAACTAGGCTAGTTAGAAGACCCTTCACAATTGAATAGAATAGTAAAATAAGAGGCTTAACTACGATCCGGAAGGGTCTAGGGACGGAAAATACACCCTTCCTAGTAAGTTCCTACAGCATATTAGCATCGGAGAACGTATTTGGAAAGTTCTCGGGTGAAATTTTTAAAAAGTTCCGGAAAACCTATTTTTGCCAATCCGGATGGGTCCCAATTTTGCCAATCCGGCGGGGTCCTATTTTGCCAAGCCGGAAGGGTCCTAAATTTGCCAATCCGGAGGGGCCCTAACTTTGCC